AATGGGGTAAGAGATCAGATTTCAGGTAGACTCCAGCAGAAGAGCAGTAAACAAACCTGAAAATTAGGCCCCAAACACCCACATGAGAAGACTATCTATTAACTATAGTTCTACAATATCAACTGGCCAGAGAGCCTTACTGTTCTAGGTTTGGTAGAGCTTCTATGATGGGTTCAACTTCAACAGCCTCACGTCCTGCAAAATACAAGGAGAAAGAAAATGAAATGCCAAAACAAAAAATGAATCCAAGAAGGGGGCTTAGACCAGACACGAAGACAAGGCAAGGTTATAATGCTACCATTGATATCATAGACAACATTGAAGCCTTTGGCTGAGAGGCTGGTCTTCACAAAGTCGGAGTCTTTCCTATCTCCTTTCAAATGCAATATCTTACCAAAGAGAAGCAAAACCCAAATGAGCATTGAGCAATGAACAGCCACAACTTACATACACACAAGCCAATCGTGATGAATGGAGATTGTGGCTGTTTCAATGAATACCTTAGATGAGAAGTCAGCAAAATCCTGGTCTGATTCGCCTGGTAATTGCTGGGCAATCGGTGCCTTCCCTCTAGTAAACAACGTCACCTGCCAAAAGGGTTTTAGTTTTCAGTTGGGTATGAATGAAACGAGAAAACAAGATGAACGATGAGGGGATAAATAAGAAAATAGCAAACCTGATGGCCTTCTTTAACAAGAAGTCTTGACAAGAAGATACCAATGAATCGAGTGCCACCCATGATCAGAATGTTCTTGGAGCTGCTGGAGGCACTGACCTGTAATGCTCCTCTGTTTTGCAGACCCATCTTCCTCTTGAACTGGGCAAACACGAACAAAAACACAGGAGGGTGATTTCGTGTTCTGATTCGGCAAACGAAAAAGTGAAATTAAACGTATAGAAGAAGAAGAAGACCTGGAGCTGAGAATGGAGGCGAGCGCCATTGAAATCAGAGAGGGAAGAAGTGAGAAGAGAGAAACCAGGGTGCGTGGTTTGTTGCTGTAATGGAACCATTCTCGCCATGGGTTTTTAGGGTGATCTCCTCTTCTTCTTTTTCCCCAGCGCCCTTTTCTGGGTATGCTGAAATCTGGGGAAAATTTAGACGCTGTTCTTTTATCTGAACCACAGCCCATGATCTTCTTCTGTTTCAGTCTTTTCAAAACATTCAATGGGGATAAGTCAAATAATCACAACCTCTCATCATTCTTCCCGTTTCCCGCCCGCCGCTGAGAACATCCACAGTCCAAACCACAATCAGCAAAACAACAAGATAGTTGCTTTGCTTTGCATCTCGCCAGTCGCTAGTCGCCACAAAACAGGGGAAAAAACAGAGCGAGTTCGAAGCGATTCCTGCTGCAAGGATGGATCCATATCGGGAAATGGGCCAGATTTAGAAGCCTGCTAGCCCAGCTTTTCAGAGGCCCGTTACTTTGGGCCTTCAGAAAATGTCTAGAGCCAATTTCGAATTAACCATTCTTTCTTCATTCTTCGCTCCTCCTGAAGCTCAGCGCGGAGAAGCACAAAACTCGACGTAAATCGTCCTGAAACAAGAAGAAGAAGACGACGACGACGAAAGCAAAGGAACAAGGAAATCCATCCGCCATAACCAGCTCCCGGATCCAACAGTCACCAAAACCCATTAATGGATCTCAATCCGGTGAGTCCACTCTCTGGCTCTGTTCCTTCTCAAAAGAATTTTCATTTACCATGAAAAATGCGATTGCCAGATTCAATTCATGAACAATGCGATAATGCTGCCTAGTGCATAGTTTTGTTCTATATGAATGATGATTGAGATCGAATCCGGGAGTAATTCTGATTTGTTCTTCATTCCTTCTGTTAATCAACGGGGGAAAATGGGGATGGATGTATTCATGATTTGATCTAAAATTGAATTGAAGTGATCATTATTTACCTAAACTCTCTCCGTTTGGCTACGCAGCCTCCTGAGGAGAATTACGCCAACCCGAGGACTTGCCTCTTTCATGTTCTTTTCAAGGTGCATTCCAATTGTCCGTTCCACCTCTTCTCTAATACTTGAATTCACCTCTAAATTAGCTCATATGATAGAATGTGTTGTGTTGGCATCGATTTCGTCAGGCTGCATCGTTGGCATTCTACATACTCTCAGCGCTCTTCATTAACAACTTCGTGATCATATTCGTGGTAACTGTTCTTCTCGCCGCTCTTGACTTCTGGGTGGTCAAGAATGTTAGTGGGCGGATTCTCGTTGGCCTTAGGTGGTGGAATGAGATAAACGACCTCGGTGAGAGCGTGTGGCGGTATGAATCCCTTGACCAAGAGGTCAGGTTCTGCTGTAACTGAAATCTAGATCACATTTTCATCACATTGTTTAGTTTACTTCCCTTCCCTTGAGGATGTCTCTTGTATGAGCAATTCAATATGGTTGCTGCAATTTCATAAATTGGTTTTGCTTTGCATCAGTCCTTGGCTCGAATGAACAAGAAAGATGCATGGTTATTCTGGTGGACTCTCTATCTCACGGTAAGTAAAGCAAGTAGAAAATGTTGAGCATTGCTTTTGAAAAATGATACAGCAAGAATTGACATTCTTACTACTGCTATTGAGCTGAATTTCGTATTGAATTCGTGTAATGTACAGGCAGTTTTGTGGGTCTTCCTTGGGATCTTCTCTCTGATAAGGTTCCAAGCCGATTACTGCCTCATCGTCGGTGTCTGCCTGACTCTCAGTGTTGCAAACATCATTGGTTTCACCAAGTGCCGCAAAGGTGAGTATTTTACTGCTACTGCCGTTCTGTCTTAGAATGGTGATGTTAGTTTTAGTTTGCTCCATCTTGGGCTGTCCACTTCACTGCTCAAATGAAGAGACTCATTGGCCACCTACCATAGCCCTCTTCTTCATGGCTTGATGCTAATAAGTTGCTTCTTACATCAGTTCATCGGTTACCTTCTGTGCTGCGACGATAGCTGCAGCTCATCTTACCTTCTGTTCAGTGCTCTCAATTTTTAGTGATGGACGCAATGATCTATTTTACTTTTCTGTTTCTGGATCTGCAGATGCGAAGAAGCAGCTTCAGCAGTTTGCATCCCAAGCGATTGCATCTCGAGTCTCGTCCACCCTTCAATCGGCATTCACTGTTGTATGATACATGGTGTGAGCTGGGAGGGAAATACAATGGAGGGAGGAGCCACAGTTAAACAAAAACTTGGCCACAATTTTGAGCTAGTATTGTAGGGGCTAGAAAAAGAAATTACTACACCATTATATTGGTTTTTCTTTCTGTTTGTATCTATCTTCTTTACATGTATTGGCTTCTGGCATAAAAGAGAAGTAATGTTGGAAACTGTCTTTTTGAATGAAGTAATTTTTTGTGCCACTTTTTGACAGGCCTTCTTTCTTATTTGATCCCTAATTCTGAGTTATGAGAAAAAGAATATCTTTATCCCCAACTAGATTAGGGTCTGCCCGTTGGACGGGTACATTCTATCAACTACATAAAAACAATAGTAAATGTTCAAAGCAAATATTCAATTTTTATTTGGCATGATAAAAGAATCTAAATCATTCAGTTAGTGACAACATAGAAAAATAAACATATATAAAGAATTTTTCGACATCCTAATCGATTCATATACATAAGAACGAAAAAAAAACTAAACACAAAGGATCATGTAGAGGTTTTGTCTAGAATTCATACCTGATGTTGTCGTACAATTCCCACAATATTACTCGTCGAAGTCTTCTTCACCTTTTCATGGACAATGTTCGCACTAAACATAACACTACTCGTTCCTCACTTTGAAAAGGGTTAACATTTTATTGTTAATGAGTCTGTAAATTGCAACTGATATATACCTCCTCTCTACTCCCCGCTCCAATGCATTGAGCTCTTGCAATATTTTGGTATTGATTGGTGGTTGGGTTTCAGCTTTGACTCTCATTAGAGGATGTGGTGCGTATGCACCACTTTTATTACCGATTTTTGTTATTGTAATACCATTTTACTTTTTTAAAACTCATGACTTATAACACACAACAAACTACATAGATTCAAATTACATGAATTTTACCTTGACGCGAAGTCAAATAATTCCCAAATTTGTAGATTGAACAACGGCATGTAGCTACAAATGAGAAGGGCTTTCATTTGCGAATTTGGTTTTAGCTAATAGATGCCCCAATAAAATAATAATAGACATTTTTTACCATTATATAACATAAATATTATGATTAGAGGATCACCTACATTTGCAAGATTGACATTTATTGTCCTACCCATGGAATAACCTTCATAATCAATCACATGTATCCAAATTGTACATTATGTCCAGAATCATAGTTTAAATAATGCATGTAATTTTAAAATGCAAGTTTAGTGAATCATATGTTCGGAAAGTTTTAGTTGGATCTCTTTACGCTTTCGACTTATATAAAAATCATGTTTTGTCTTGCTAATTTTGTCAATGGTTGATCAATTCTCTTCAACTTTATGTGAATTAACTTATGACAAATACGACAAACAATAATTTTACAATTTCGAATAATCAAAATAATTATAGTGGTTATAAACTGACCAGAGTTATTATTCATGGTCATACTATAAGAAAGATTATTTCTCACTTTGGGTATATATTAGTGAGAGTCGAACATGAATTCTGGTACTACAAAAACAACTTTCCACTTTCCTTAACCACACTCGGTATGAATGCACACTAATGCGAAGTGTATGTAATAGAGACTGATAAATATATGTACTTGTGTTCAAGGTTTAAAGAGACTGAATTGAATCATTGTTTTGCTAACTGGATGATTCTATGCATAATTTTTTTTTTATTCATTGGTCAGAACAATTTCATTTTGTGTAAAATCATTTTATCTTAGTACCTTACTATCTTCAATTTCTAAATGATTTGTTTTGTCGTAACATCCTACAATTAAATATTCATAGTCTCTTGAGTACACTTTTCGTGTAGGTTTATAAGACATATATAGACAGAGTATAGACTCAGTTCTCAATCAAAATACTCAACCATCAATCACTATTTTGATAGTTTGCATAAACAACATATATATCATATCCACTCATGATCGTTTAATTATCTATTCTTGACATCTCCAATATGGAGGTTTGTAAACTCTCGATGTAAGACATTATGTCTCGATTTATCAAACATAATACTTAAGTTTATTATCTTATACAATATACCTTAACTCATGATTCTCAAAATTAGGAGTGACTCTCAACCAACGTTTATTGATCATTAACTTAGTCTATCATAGGATAGTAAAGATGTTTGATCTCTGGATAATTTTTTTTATCTGAATTCAAGGCAATTTACACATCATTCACGGTTCTTTCCTTGACATGGAATTTTAGCTATCGATTCCGAACTTATAGCACACACACTGAAAAATTATATATTCTTGATAAATATTTTCTATTAGTAATTAATAGAATATGTTAATGATATATCGCAGGCATATGAAAAGTTGTTGCAATTGAATAGTAGATTGATTACTTTAAACCAATGTGTTAGAAATCGTACTATACCTGAAGGTGGGACCGAAAATACCGGACCTCAAATAGTAAGTGGTTTTAGTGGTACAAAATTGTTGAACCACAGTTCAATCATGATTTTAGTACAAAATATCTTATCACTAACTTTCGCGGTATAACTTCCGATACCGTTTCATAATCATTGCTTCGAACAAAGTCATCTGTAAACTATATTTACAAACTCTCGAAAACGTTGTAATATTTAATATGTTGTATAAACCCAAAAATGAAAAAAGAGTCCTTCTTGAAAACATATTCTACTAATAATTTTGGAATACATTCTGCTAATAATAATAAATGAAAGAAGTGTCATTCCAAGAAACATAAACCTAATCTCAATAGAATTCTTATTTTATTAGGATAATGTAGGGGATGCTGGCGGATTTTTTACATATAATTTTTTATTAATTTTTTTTACTTTTAGTATGCCAAAATGACCCTTTCTACAATCACTCAGAGAGCTGAAAATTCTGAATGAAGGATGTTCCATGGAAAAGGAGAACCTCTATATAGTATTGGTATGATGATGATGATATGTTGACTAACAATAACCGACATCACCGATCTATCTTTATCGAATTTGTTTTTATCTAAATTGTTCGGATCAGCATGCCAATTTATTAGTAATGAGAAAAATGATACGGATACTCAAATTAGTTATCAAGTAAGATGGAGAAGAAATTGTGATTTCAAGTAATATAGGTTTGCACCAAATAAGCTGATGTGTCATGTTTGGACAAGAAATAAACTAAAATGAGAATCATATAACCTAGTCAAAGTCCATATACCATTTTATTATTAACTTTAGGTCCATATTTTAGATTTGGAGTTTTGGACAAAAACGTGACCCAAAATGATGGAGCCATTTTAATTCTCATTAATTTGTTAGAATGAAAAAAATTCAGTGACCAAATTGCTATTTACCCAAAGGTTGCTATTGTAATATTTTTCGGTGCCAGACTAAACTGCTTCTCCTTCCGCTCTCTTCGAGCTGCTCAGCTTCGTTTCACTCCTCCGGCGAAACCCAGATCGTCTCCAAGCAAGCGATACAAAGGGAAGAAACAATGTTACAGTGCATATTCCTCCTCTCCGATTCTGGGTAATTCTCTTAATTCCTTTCATTCATTTGTTCAATTCTCAAGCTCTAAGGACGAAGAAGAAAAAAAGAGTCGAATTTCCTTTTTCCCCGATTTGATCTGTCATAGTTGCGAGCTAAGAGTTTCAGCTTAATTCAATTAAATTGTTTGACAGAGAGGTAATGCTGGAGAAGCAGCTAACTGGGAATCGAGTAGACAGATCAATCTGCGTCTGGTTCTGGGATCAACTTCTCTCTCATGGCGATTCCTTTAAGGTAGCCATCCTCTGATTTTTCTTCTCGCGCAATTGATGAGATGGTCAATTTAGGGTTCACAAGATTACTTTTTTTTTGTTCCCCTGCAGCAACAACCTGTAATTGCTTCTCCCACCCACTACCTTTTCCAAGTTGTTCGTGAGGGGATCACCTTCCTGGCTTGCACCCAGGTTGAGATGCCACCTTTAATGGCTATTGAGGTAAAGAAACAACAAAGAACGTAGCAAAAATTTACAACCCTTTTCATGTTCTGGGCCATTTTGACATTCTTAAATCTCTAGTTCCTTTGCAGAGTGGCGGATGTTCTGTCGGATTACTTGGAAGGGTTGAATGAAGATGTGATAAAGGATAACTTCATCATTGTGTATGAGGTACTAGAATTGTTATTTTGACTGCATGCTAGATGCCTTCAATTTGGAATGACTAGTAATTATAACCTTTGTATCCTGCCTGATTGTTTGGCAGCTGCTGGATGAGATGATGGATAATGGCCATCCTTTGACTACCGAACCTAATATACTTAGAGAGATGATAGCACCACCGAACATTGTCAGCAAGATGCTGAGTGTAGTGACGGGTAATAGTTCGAACGTGAGTGAAACTCTCCCTGGTGCAACATCATCTTGTGTCCCTTGGAGGACGACCGACATTAAGTATGCTAATAACGAAGTTTATGTAGACCTTGTTGAAGAAATGGATGCAATTATTAACAGGTCTCTCTTTCAGTTCAAAGTCTTAAACTTACTTCAAATTTTGATTTCCACGGAAACGCTAAGCTATATTTTCCCTTTTGTTTTGTGTTGTCTAGGGATGGGATATTGGTGAAATGTGAGGTTTTTGGTGAAGTTCAAGTGAACTCCCATATCACTGGGGTTCCTGATTTGGCTCTTTCCTTTGTGAATCCTTCTGTTCTAGACGATGTCAGGTTCCATCCCTGTGTTCGGTATCGACCTTGGGAGTCTTATCAGATACTGTCTTTCGTCCCTCCTGATGGACAGTTCAAGCTAATGAGTTACAGGTCAATTCTCATAAAACATGACACTTGTTGGTTTTTACAATCTCATCTCGTTGTTTGTAGGAAGTAACTTCGTTTTTGCTTCTGTTCAGGGTGCGGAAATTGAAAAGCATTCCGCTGTATGTGAAGCCACAGATTACATCCGATGGTGGCTCATCTCGCATCAGTGTCATGGTTGGAATCCGGAATGACCCTGGTAAAGCTATCGACTCAATATCAGTGCAATTCCAGCTGCCTTCTTGTGTCTCATCGACTGATCTAACTGCAAATCATGGAGTTGTGAATGTTCTCTCGAATAAGGTACCTACTTATATGATATCCTACAAAGTTATCTGAAAATTGACTTTGTTGTCATATTGTGTGTGACTAACTACTACGCATGATGAATAAACTATTGACGAAGTGATGAGGTTTGAGCTATTGTGCATTTCTCTCTTCTGAAAGAGAGCATATCAGTGTCCATTTGGCGAAGCTTGATGGTTTGTTCTTGTATAAAACTGCAGACATGCATTTGGTCTATCGATCGAATACCAAAAGACAGAGCCCCTTTGTTATCCGGGACATTGTTACTGGAAAACGGCTTAGATCGTCTCCATGTATTTCCAACATTTCAAGTAGGATTCAGGGTACAAGGTGTTGCTCTCTCAGGTCTGCAAATTGACAAACTGGAGCTCAAGGTTATACCAAACCGCCTTTACAAAGGTTTTCGAGCTCTAACACGAGGGGGGCAGTATGAAGTGAGATCATAGGTTGGATCTTTTCTTACATCAAATTTGAAGTGTTGGTGCTTTGAAGGGGGGAACAATTCTTGGATCTTCATCTTCTTGACTAGTTGTAAAAAGGAACACAAACTGAATGGGTAGTTGGTTATTTGAATGGATAAACAATGGAAGTCTTTGGAGCATGGTTTTTGTAGCATTTGGGGATTCAATTGTGAGTTGCATCGCCCTAACGGTTAGTATCGGCCATTTGGTTGGGTCATGGGTGTGTATCATCTGCATTTGAATCAGAAGTTTCTTGATTAATCAAAAGAATATACTTACCTAATCATCATGTATGAAATGATAAAGAGAAAATCAAAGTATGAGCGCTTTGTAGGTAACTTGGAATCCGCAATCCAAAAGGAATCCAAATGGGTTCATTCCCCGTTTTCCTCTCTAAATTCTTACTCAGCTCCTCTTGGTCTCTCATATTGCTCCTTTCTACGGAATTTGAACTCCTTTCAGCCAAGTGTTTTCAGATCACTAATAATCTTGGAGAAATGAGATATAAACAAAAACTTCTATATTTTGCAACAAGTAAATCCCATTGCGAAGAAGAAGAAGAAGAAAATTTCTCTGTTCTCAACTAGGGAATACATAGGATAAGAAAAATTCAACTACGCTTCTGATGAGCAACTCTAGAGATAATAGCCAGTTCATTTTGTAATATATTATGCAAAGCAAATCAAAGCCACTAAGAAGAAGAAGAAGATGGGAAAGGAGAAGGGAGTGGAGTCGGCCAAAGTGGGTTGTCACATATGATTGCCGATTGTTCGAGCTTGCGGTTCAAAGCTCTAACAGTGATGTCCTTGTCCATGTCCAAAGCTCCGACGACCTTGTAGGTCTTACATCTCATATCCAGTAGGGCCAACGACTTGTTATACCTGAGGTACACCTGTTCTGGATCATCTGGGTTCATAGTCACGAAGGCTCTGAACGAGATTCTTCTAATCTGTTGTTGAATGTGATGATCGCGATCGCGGTTGTTCTTAACACTCTTCATATCAAACTCCTTCACCATCTCCCATTCATTCCCTGAAGCCCTATAGATCTTCAGCTTCTTTCCATCAAAGAGCTTTCCTGCCCACAACTGGCCCTTACTGACGCACATCCCATCAAAGACCACGTCCTGAACAGTTCCCAAATTCGAAGGCCGTATGACCTTAATCACAACATCAACGACATTGTTGATGGGATCGTATACGATCGCTTGGGACCCCTTGAACATCCAGCACAAACGAGGGGTGGAATTGTCGCCATTCTTTTTCAACGTGACTGCAACGATAGTCTGCATTTTCGTGTCCGGCCCAAATGGCTGTGGGAGAGACGATACCTTCACGGCCATCCACTTCCAGGATTGGGACGAGAAGACTTGCAGGTCGAGGGAGCGTCTGCCTTGAAAATCGAAGTTGAGGGGGAAGCGCACGATCTTGAACCAACAAACGCCATGGGAATCGAAATCGGAGACAAAGCCGACATGGGCAATCTCGTGGGAGAAAACCGGGGAGGTGAAAGGAGGCGGGACTTGAAGCCACTGCTTGGTGTGAGGGTTGCAGACCACATAAATGGGTGCGAAACCATCAAACATAATGCCTGTAGGGCCTTTCGTCGTCGCGCTCAGGAGTGGGGCGCACAGGAGTAAGCCATTGGATGAACCTAAGATCAATTCCCTGAACGTGTAGTAATTCGGGACACCCCATGCCCAGCTATTCTTCACCTTCTTCTGGTGCTCAGCTGCTAGATTGAGAAGATCATAAAACTTAGTATCTCCGTGCAGTTGTGCAAAGTCCGGAACGAAATCGAGTGAGAATTTGAGCTTCTCCCTCACCCGCTCGCCATGGTCTTCGTTAACGGGAATCAGGATTGGTGTTCTTTGGTGGGGATGAGCTTTGACACTGTAACTGACTCCATCACTCTTCTTCTTCTTCTTCTTCTTCTCCTTCTCACTCTGCTTCTTCTCCTTGCTTGTGTAGTAAGCTGCAAACAGAGGGTTTTCGACTACAGACAGCCAGTGCTTGCAGACGGATTTGCATCGGAAGATCTGATCCAGTGGCAGACGCACCAGAATCTCAGTCAACAAATACTCCCCAGCATCATTAATCATACAGCAACAGGGACCTCCTCTGTTCTTCTTGCTTTCCCCTGCCTCCTCCCCTGCCTTTTCCATCTACAACCCAAGCAAACCAACAACAATAACACCACCATTTGCAATTGTGATCAACTCATTCATTCATTCATTCATTCAGGATTCACATAAAGAAAGATACCCAGCAAGCGATTCCTAAATAAATATCCGTTCTGAACCCTAAACCATATAAATCCCCAACCCTAATTCTCTGAGCTTCATCTAAAAACACAAACCTGAAGAGTAAACATATCTAACCTGAGAGAGAAGGGTTCCACACGGAATATCGATCGAGGCTGCAGAAGACACGAAATTGCAGAAACGCGTTCGTATCTTTGTTTATATAGAGGTAGTAATTATAATATAATAAAAGATTGGTTGCGAAGACCTCGGCACAGAGGTTAACTGGACTAACAAACAGGCCCAAAGGACGGGCTTACAAACAGTAAACAACAAAAAAGATGCGAACTTCACGAAATCCCACAATCATATCATCAAACGGAGACCTTGTTGACCCTAAACGAAGCCATGACTCGCCGGAGATCGTTCTCCTCCTCCATGAACACGCTCTCCGGCGTCTGCAATCTCAGCTCGTAGAGGCGGTTGTTCTCGACTCCCAGAACGGAGAGGTACCGCCGGTCCCATTCCTTCCGGACAACTCTGTCCTGAGGCATGACGGCCAGCTCGTTGTTGCTTGCATACGACTTGATGTTCACTTCCACTTGGTAGTACATCTTGCCGTCGTCGGCGACTCTGGAGGATGTGGAGAGGACGTTGGATTCTCGCCGCACGCCGAGTCGAGTGGACATGAACTCCGTGAGGTATTGCTTCAGGACTTTCGCCCCGGCTTCTTCTGGGGATCCCAAGTCCTCCAAGCTCTTGTACCTTTGGAAACCATAACGATGTGAATTGAGACTGACAATTTTCTTCTATCAGCGTGCACAATCAAGCTTCAAGCTCAAGATATTAGCTGAACCAAAAGAAAAATCCTATAACCTAAGTCATTCAAGCATTATTATGATGGACTCTAGCTGATTGGTTTACCTGGAGGAGGAAGGAGAGGAGAACTCGACGGAGAGGTTTTCGTCGAGGACATAAGGGTCACGGAAGAAGATATCGGCGCCGGCGCCGCGGACCTGAATCCAGTTCTGCGGGTAATTGAAGGAGTAGCCGTCGAAGGTGTCGATGTATTCCCTCAGGGGAACATCAGCCGGTGCCGCCATGGCAGATTGAGGAGCGGTAGCCGATTCCCATAAGAGGGAAGTGGTCGCAGTGGGTGAGAGTAAGATCAATGACAGGGCGCTTCTCCTCGGAACTGCAGAAACCTTTGAAGTCTGATTAATCACACACAGACTGACTGGGTGGGGATTCCATGAGCGATAAGAGAAAGAAAAGCAGAGGAAATTAGGGAGGAGTTAATTGATTACCTGGTGGAGATGGGATTTTGAGGAGAAGACGAGGGAAGTGGGTATTTGGGGAATGGAATTTTGGGGCGGAAGGGGACTGGGAAGGTGTTGAGGGGAAGAGTGAAAGAGCAAAGTTGCCATTTTTGCTTTGAGAGATGAAGTCGGATAGGATTTGGGGATGGGGAAGGGGAAGGATTAGGGACAGTGAGTGAATGGAGGACAGAGATGGGATGGGAGGGGGGGAACGGGGAAGTGAGTCTGGTGGCTGGGAAGAGATGGGCCGATTGGGTTGATAAGTCCACTAGCATTGAACCCGGCCCGTTGGCCGGTACAGTTTTATAAGTGACGAATAAACTATATGAAACGAAAATTATTTTTTGTTCTCATAATTTCTAATTATTGATTTTGAAAAAAAATGCATGTTATAACCAAGGATTGAAATACCGTACCGTAGGTCGTATCGGAAAAGTCAGCGGTAGGGTATTTTATGCTAAAATCGTGGTTTAATCATGGTTCAAACGTATTATACCGCTAAATACCACCTACCGATTTTGCTTCCTGTAGAAGGTTTTTTCGGTCGAACCGCCGGTACGGTACGGTATTTTAATCCTTGGTTATAACCTAAATCTTAAATTGTAATGGGAGAATGATAAGAAAAAGAAAGAAAAAAAAAAGAGGTGTGGGAAAATGATAAACATAACACTCAAAACACATTACTAAGCACAATGTTCTTTACGAATAATAAATTACAGGAAACATGGACAAAAGGGAAGAGGAGTGAGAAAATGAGAGAGGATTTATTTACATTATAACGTTACCATAAGACATCCACTTAAGAGAGAAAAAAAAATACAACATAAAAGGAAATCAACAATTCTGAAGAGCTACAACAACAGAAATACAATTCAACTCCATAGTTATTGTGGCGTGGGTCTCTATACAAAAAATAGTCGTTCATAATATTTTTACATGAGTATTTCCTAATCCTAGACTCTAATCGTTAGCAACAATTACAACTCATGCTTCTTGCCCACTATGGTTGTCTTAATGAAGAGTAGGAGCTTCATCTGGTTAGTTATCACAAACTACAAAATATTACAGAACCAATTACAAAAAGAAGTAAGCATCTAAAATGACTATAAGAAATATATTAAATCACAATAACAGAGTAATCAAAGAGAATATCATGTAGAGGTAAAGCAGCAGAATGACATTTCTATGTTAACCTAAAACTCCAAAAATAAAATGTTGCAATAAAATTGTCCCTTAACTACCTAGCCAACAACAATCCACCCAAACATTAAACTAAACTCAATACAAACAAATTGAATTATATTCGCCACTTTAACATAAAAGCAGGGGATAGAACCGCATGAACCATAATAAGCTAATTTGAGAGCCTATCAAAACTTGGTGAAACAGGGAACAAAAGAAACAATTTAGGGAAGAAAATGCAGCAAAGGTGAATAGAAAATTGCAAATGAAACGGCAGATCAAATATATTGTGTAGTAAAAGACTCTATTGTCATAGTTTAATTGTCCTTTTGAAGTTGAGGAGATTGGTGGGTTGAACCTTCAAACACCAACATAAATTATCAACAATAATACTTATAGGTCATGACCAAAAGAACTCCAGAGCTGCAAATTCTTGAGGCCCCAAAGTAACACAAAAAAACATTAAAGAAAGAGTTTAAAAGGGAAAACTCGCAACAGAAAGAAGAAATTCAATTTAAAAAAAAAATAACTATGGTTGACTAAACATCAAATTAAGGACAAATTTAGCACATCACATCATTGCACAACATTACTAAAAAAAGCACAGTGACAATCTAGCTCCAAGAAGCTTCAACTTGCAAAAGCCATTTAGAGAAAAGGCACCCATGAGATAGTGTCTATCATATTGAGATTTGAGAATACATGACTGGATGCCAACCCCCAAATTTAGTGATTGCAGAGGAGTTCTCCAACCATATTCGACCGTTTATTACATATCACACCATCTGCCGAATCCACCACTACTCTCGGAGGCATAAAATTTGAGTCGAGTAACGCCTAAACCCGGTAACAATGACTCCACAATAGCTATTAATATTATATCACACCATCTTCCTAATAAGCAGCTACGCATAGAGACAAAGTGCTCGACTGACCTAACTTCTAAGCTAAAAAATGACTATCTATTAATCTCTAGAAGTTTGAATGAAATTGGGAATAACCTGGTGAGGTGCATTCATCGTGGAAGTAGGGCGAGTCCCACCCGACATGGATGCTCTTATTGATGCACGTCATTGTTCGTCCTCTTCTTAAATGTCGGGGATACCACCTCCTTATCCCTACAAAGCACGGGAAAAATGAAAGATTACGAAAAAAATGAAAGATTAAAATTTACATATAGAGCTCAAACATTCACCTACCCTAACATTTTAAAGTTTTGAATCCCCATTGTTAGAAAGGACGTTGGAAATAACCTGATAAGAATCCTCAACTCATGATAAATCTCCTACTGTGGCTTTAAGTGCTGATAAACTTCACCTCACCACTTGTGCGACAACTGCGAGCAGAGACCAATAATTCTTCATATGCGATGGGCACAAAGAGCAAGAGGGAGAATCATTGTTTGCTCGATGGCGGTTTGAGAGGGTACTCCGGGGATTGGTTTTAGGAGGCAAAGAGCGAGAGGGATAATGATTCATTGCTTGGCGGAGGGGGGGCTTCGAAGGGGAATTACAGGGTTGGTCTGGGAGACACAGCAACAGCGAGTCAGAGATAGAGCACATGCAACAAACACAACGACGGTATATGAGGTAGAGTGAGGGTGGCATAAAAGGTGGAGCATGTGATGAGTTTAGATCAGCAGAGAGGCCGCCGGGAGGAGTTTTCCTTTGAGATCGAGTGTGCCAGAAAGGACGACGGAGGATTTTGATCTCAGATTGCGGTTGCGATGAGTCGGCTAGAATGAGTTCTTCCTATTCCGGTTGGAGGTTGGGAATTTTGATTTGAGATTGCGGGCTGCGAATGAGAAGGAACAATGAGGGAGGGTTTTCACTTTACGGTTGGAGATTGGAAACATACACAACGAAGAAGAAAGAGAGTTCGAATTACCGGGAAAGAAAGGGAGTATGAATTGACAAAAGGGTCCCTCCGAAGTGTGCGGTCGTTTGAGTAAAGGGTGATGTGGCAAAAGCTGTTTTTGACATTGCCTTATAGTGTTTTGTAGATTATTGAAAATATTTATATAACCATGGTTGAAAATACTATCTTAGGCATCAAAGTATAGAAACATAGTGGGGTTTTGCTTTGTGTTAGTCTCATTATGTCGAGAAGTTGCTCAAGAAGTTTGAGCATTTGGATATTAAAAAAGCAAACACCCCTTATTATGCTTCTTTCAAGCTTTGTGCAAATGAGGGAAGGATTGTTGCACAAGTTGAGTATTCTAGTGCTATAGGAAGTTTGATGTATGCAATGGGTTGTACTAGATCTGATATTGCATTTGCAATGTGCAACTTTTTTAGATTCACTAGCAATCCTAGTGTTGATCATTGGAGAGCTATAGGAAGAGTCATTGGTTATTTTAAGAAAAACCAAAGATTTGAGACTCTTCTATAGCAACTTCCCCGCTGTACTAGAATAATTTTTTATGCTAGTTGGATTACGAGCTCTTATGATAATAAATCTACAACAGGGTGGATTTTCACAATAGGTGGTGAGGCTGTTTCTTGGGCTTCCAAGAAACAAACATGTATTACTCACTCCACAATGGAAGCTGAGTCCCTAGCCCTTGAGGTTGTTGGAAAAGAGGCAGAATGGCTAAGAAATATGTTGTTAGATATAGAGTTGAGGCCACAATAAATGACAACCATTTCTATCTTTTTTGATAGTGAGGCTACATTGTCTAGAGCTTATAACAAGATTTACAATGGTAAGTCTAGACACATTAGTCCAAGAAATGATTATGTTAGGTATTTGATAACTAATGGAATAATTTCTATTCTGTATGTAAGGTCATGCAATAATTTGGCAAATCTTCTTATGAAATGATTGCCAAGAGGCATGATCTATGAGACATTTTGAATAGTCAGAAGTAATGGGAACTCAACATTTTCTTTAGTTATTTAATTGCAAGTTACTCTAAATGTAGTACTAATTTATTGTACAAGTAAATTAATTGCAAGTAAGGTAAGTTATAGAACTCTTAATGATGTTCATTGGAATGTCACTTATGTGAGCATTGAGAGTGGTGCCGCTCTAACAAAAGTAGAGTCAACTTTTGTGTATGCTCATGAAATAGGCTTAGCACATAGCTATAATAGTGCTACCCTTGTTGGTGGTTGTGTTTTAGAGAAGAGACAGGTAAGTGTGTGACATCTCTGGTTCTAGCTTTGGATCGTGACTCCTAGGCTTCAGCCCGTCACTGGTTTGCTATCAAATCTAAGTTGCCTACACTAGGTAAAAGTTCAAATAGAAAAGATACATTTATTTTATGTGTTACTTGTTCAATAAGGTATTTTCAAAGATTGTTGACTTAGTGGGGGATTGTTAGAGTAGTCAACAAAAAGCAAAATACCACATTGGTGGAAGAAGGAAAATCCAAGTGGTTTATAACTTAACTACCTACTTTATTTTATTGAATAAAGTAATAAGTGGGTTTTGGTTTAAGTGTGTGCAATTTAATTTGACATATTTAATCGCACTACGCACTTAGCACGAGGCGTTCAAACTTGATTTTTTGGCTAATTAATTTTATAAATTACTTGTTGCTTAATTAATTGATGTTTGATTTTTGTGAAACGACACGACCCTTTGGAAGGGAGCTGTCGTTTTCACAATAAAAGACTTCTGTAGCCAGACTTCTTTTCCAATGTTCATCTTCTTCTTCCCATTTTCCTTTTCAAACACACAAACACAAAACACATAAGTCAGAAAGATTGCTGCTTTCGGACTTTGATTGCAGGGACTGCTGGGAGTGATTTGCCTAATTCCTACTAGTAATTCGTAGTGGGGGCAAATAACACTCTAATGAGAGTGATCTAATCACGCCTTCAAGCTTTTGAATTTGTTGAGAGCATGGTGGAATTTCAGTAAGTTAAACCTGGTTCAACCGGTGACTGTCATGAGACCGGCGTGCGTGAATACTACTGGTGAACACTAAGTCCCTGATGGAGATTGAAATAAGACACCACCTCTTGCAGCAAAGCCCCCATCCTACTGTCCCTTGTATCAGATTGATCGATCTTATCAATCACCGATCGAACCATACTGATTGATAAACTCGTACAATGAAGTAATTGGGTTTGACAACCTTGAGAGCAAGTGGATAAAAAAATATAAGTTGAACACCTTGGTGCACTTTTTTGTGCAGTCCAAGCAGGTCACAATCACAAGATATAGTGGAGGGACGGGATACGGTGACAACCAAGGGCATTTTGGGTATAAAAAGGAATATATTATTTAAATTTTTTGTATTAATTACATTGGGAATTAAAAACCCATATTACATACAAGTTTTTTGGAAATTTAAATCCTATACATTAATATCTCTCTCTCTTCCTTTCTCCAGCGGCCACCCTGCATCGACCGACAGACTTTTTCTCCGGTGAAATCCTTCCGGCAGACTTTCTCCGGCGAATTCTCTCCAGCCGATTCTCTCTGGCAACCTGAAAAAAAATGTACCAGTGCGTTAAAAAGTGTACCAGTCCATTAGTATACTGGTAATGATTTTTTTTCTAGTGGTACGCTACCAGTACAACGCTACCACTACCATATTGTATCGTACCACTAGCACTAGTAGCGTACCACTAACACTGGTAGCGGTACTAGTAGAGAATAACACAAAAAACCATATGGTAGTGGTATTAGTTGATAGTGGTACGCTACCACTACCAGCTACCTGATGGTAGTGGTAGGTACAACTATCACTGGTACGCTACAACCAGAAAAATGGTTCCGCTAAAAAATCAGATCTAGAAAAGGGGAGCTGGTGACGGGAGAGAGAGGTAGAGGGGAGAGGGTGACCTCGCGACTGCAGTAGTGGTGGGAGACAAAGGGCGGCGAGAGGGCTCCGACAGGGAGAGGATGATTGTGCCGCGGTGGTGGGAGGCGGACGTTGCGACGGGTCGGCGGGAGAGAGTAGCAACAACAAGGGGTGGAGGGAGGCTGAGGATGGCGGAGATGGCGGCGGTAGAGGGCTCGACAGGCGGCTTTAGGAGATAGGGGTGTCGACGCCGGCGGTGGAGGGCTGTGGCGGCGAAGGGCTCTGCGACGGTGATGGTTGCGGGAGAGAGGGAGGATGGAGGAATAGAATTTTTTTCTATTTATATGGTAGGGTGAATGATTGGGTGTGATAAATTTTTTCCCTTCCAAAAATACCCTTCTTTAATCTTAACAGTTAATTTGAAGAAAAAAAAAAGAAAGAGACAAGAGAGAGCATATCCAAGGGCTATGAAGTGGGTTGTGAATCTGACAATTTCTTAAGCAATTGTCACCGTATCCCGTCCCTATAGTGGACACTAGACAGTCAAGATGATGGCACGAGCAACCGCAGAAAATCAAGTTGCCGCCTTGTTATGGGCAATTAATTATTGGATCAGATCAGACCAACTTGGTGGGCTGGGCTGGGTCTTTTATTGTGCTGTTTGTGATTATGGATCAACTTACGCCACGTCCTCATTACTCTCTCCCAATTCTCTTGCCAAATCACCGGATTAAGATGGATGAATGGTCCCATGTCGATTTCTCCAATTAGGGCAATTCTAACTTCGAAAGTTGCAGTGCAATATTTGATGAACTCGAATTATCCTAATTTGAAGAATGGAATTTAAAATATTAGCATGTTTCCCTTTTAAATAGACTCGATCTTGTAATTATTAAGCAGACATCGTGCTCAATTAGGACAAGAAAGCCCCCATTTTCCAACAAGTGTACAATGCAACACAATAACCAGAGAAATGCTTAAGCAAGGTAGATTAACTAGCGGCCATGAAACAAGGCCAAGTGTTGCGTTTTCATGAGATTCTGACTTGCAAAAAAAACCAATCTTCTAATTTCTACATTATCCTTAATATTTCTGAGCACCCTAATGTAATTTAGTTTGGCTTCATTAATTTATATTGATTGCTTAAATTATGAAATAATCCAATTATATTAAAATCCGATCCATTAATTAACTTCACTCATCATTGAAGTTCTAAATTTCTAATTCAGGAGGACATTGAACATTGCGTACTCCCCAAGGGGAAAAAGAGGAAAGTAGGGAAAATACACCAAAAATCTCTAATTAAAAAGCAAAATTTCTTTTCTTTCTTCCCTCCGTCCTTCCCTCTCCATCTCCTCTCCATCTCCCGTCCTTCTCAATCTTCCCTCTTCTTCATAATTTGCAGAAGAGAGAAAAAGTTTACAGAATAACCCATCCATACCCTTCCGACCCGAATCCCCTCTCATCATCTATCTTCCTCCTCGCTTAGCAGATCGTTCCAAGGGAAAGAGCTTCCCTCCCCAAAAAATTTGGCGGTTCCCAGATGTCATGAAGAACATCTTGTGCTTCATTTGCTCTTCCACCATGAAACCCTCTGCTCGATTCCTCATCTCCCGAACCTCCAAATCCTTTCTGGGTTCCGCCAAACAGCCCCTTAGATCCAATCGAACCCACAGCTCTCTCGGCAACACTTGCCGCCCTGGCCCCGCCACAATCATCGCTCCTCCGCCGCCGCCGACTCCGGCTCGGTTCAACCCCTACAGGCTCATGTCCACCGTATTCCGCCCCGGGTTCGCGCCGCCGTCGATAGCTTTCGCGAACAGGGGTTCCTTTTGCGTCGCCTCGAGGGCGGTGGTGCGGCAGCAGCATTCTACTTCGGTGGAGACGCGGGTGAACGAGAACAATTTCGAGAGGATTTACGTCCAGAATGGAATCGCCGCCGCGGCCAAGCCGTTGGTCGTGGAGAGGATCGATAAGGACGAGAACATCCGTGAGGTCGTGAGCGTGGAGGATGGTTCAGCCGAGGAAGGAGATTTGAATTTGAGGAACCCGGAAGGAGTCGAGATCGTCAGCCCTAGGAGGGAAGAGAGTGATATCGAGAAGGAAGCGTGGAAGTTGCTAAACGACGCCGTTGTGAGGTACTGCGGGAGCCCCGTTGGAACCGTTGCGGCGAATGATCCTGGGGACAAGACGCCATTGAACTATGACCAGGTTTTCATTCGTGATTTCGTGCCTTCTGCGCTTGCCTTCTTGCTCAGGGGCGAAGGAGAGATTGTCAGGAACTTCCTGCTCCACACCTTGCAGTTGCAGGTTTGAAATTTGATCATGGTGTTTGTTCATTTATGTGAATGGCTCAAATTGTTTGCTGATAAGGGACTCTCAATTCATTTGTTTTTTAGAGCTGGGAGAAAACAGTAGATTGCTATAGTCCAGGCCAAGGGTTAATGCCTGCTAGCTTCAAGGTCAGAACTGTGTCTCTTGATGGTGACAAGACTGAAGAAGTTTTGGATCCAGATTTCGGAGAATCGGCCATTGGCCGAGTTGCCCCTGTGGACTCTGGTTAGTATGCTTGGTCCTTAGAATTCAGGATTTTGGGTTGTGATCCTTAGGTTTCTTTGAACTTTGCTGTATCTTAGAGTTCATTGATGTTATCTTTATGGCAGGATTGTGGTGGATTATTTTGCTGAGGGCCTATGGGAAAATCACTGGTGACTATACATTGCAAGAAAGGGTCGATGTGCAAACCGGCATTAAGTTGGTCTTGAACTTGTGCTTGGCTGATGGATTCGATATGTTTCCTTCTCTGTTAGTCACTGATGGTTCCTGCATGATCGATCGACGCATGGGTATTCATGGGCATCCTCTCGAGATCCAAGTGAGTTCATAAGTGGGTTAGATCGTTAAGTGCCTTCATAATGATAATAGCCTGGTCACGGTTTCTCACATGAAGTTTTACTTTTGGTGTTATTAGGCCTTGTTTTACTCATCTCTACGATGTGGTCGTGAGATGCTTACGGTAACTGATGGCTCAAAGAATCTTGTGAGGGCTATAAACAATAGGCTTAGTGCTCTATCCTTCCACATTAGGGAATATTACTGGGTGGACATGAAGAAGATGAACGAGATATACAGGTATAAGACAGAAGAGTATTCCCTGGATGCGACAAACAAGTTCAATATCTATCCTGAGCAAATCCCCCTATGGCTCATGGATTGGATTCCCGAGGAAGGTGGGTATCTAATTGGGAATCTGCAGCCGGCTCACATGGACTTCAGGTTCTTCACTCTGGGGAATCTCTGGTCTGTGATCTCGTCATTGAGTACACCGAAACAGAACGAAGCTATACTGAATCTGGTAGAGGGAAAATGGAACGATATTGTGGGACACATGCCTCTCAAGATATGCTACCCTGCGTTAGAGAATGAGGAATGGCGTATAATTACTGGAAGTGACCCAAAAAACACGTAAGTTTCTCTTCGATCCCACTGTCGTTTCAGCTTGTAATTGGATTCCACCCATCATAAGATTCCTCTCTTTTTCTTGAAAACTTGCAGAGCTTGGTCATATCACAATGGTGGCTCATGGCCAACCCTTCTGTGGCAGGTGAGAGATCAAATCATCATCACCCCGATTTCCTTTCATAAAGCTCCTTGAGTTTGTAATGATGTTTATACAATAAACCCCATTTTGTAGTTCACCTTGGCATGCATCAAGATGGGTAGAATCGATCTAGCAAGGAAGGCAGTCAGCATGGCCGAATCAAAGCTTGGTGCTGACCGTTGGCCGGAGTATTATGACACCCGAACTGGCAAGTTCATAGGGAAGCAAGCTCGACTCTACCAGACTTGGACCATTGCAGGGTTCTTAACGTCCAAAGTACTGCTCGAAAATCCAGAGAAGGCTTCATTGTTGTTCTGGGAGGAAGACTATGAGCTCCTGGAGATGTGCGTTTGTGCACTGAGCAAGACCGGTCGGAAGAAATGCTCCCGAGTCGCTGCCAAGTCTCAGATTCTTGTGTAGCCAGCCAAGCAATATACATCCATTCATTACTGTACAGCATACAGAATTTACTTAAAGGGTCTCTCATGACCATTGAAAAGGGAGGATCAAATTTTGGAGCTCCATAGTTGTAATCCTCTCCTACAATAGTAGAGTAGCAGTAGCAGAAACTGGGAATGCTAACTACCGTATAAGGCAAGGCATGGGAGCATGTTCCCCGTCTTCCCATTTAGCAGAAGTTGATGGGGTTCCCCCCTGTTCTTCTGACATTTTTTTGTTTATCTGTTAACCACTTGAGCACCATTGATTATGAAGCTCGTTTTGTGGAGGGAAGGAAGAGTATGTTACTTAAGGAAAATGTGTAGCATATAGTTTCTCCTCAATCATTCACTCTTGTACATTACTACTAAAATACACCTTTCATATCTGTATATTCTACATAGTGTATCCTCATTTCAATGTTTGAGACGAGAGCGGATCCAGTGACTAGGGGGGGGGGTCCTTAGTCACTTGACTAAGCCCCTCCTAGCCATTAGATCTGGGCACTTCAATCTAATGGTTAAAAAGTGGGAAGGGCTATTTAATTAATGACAGGGGTAGTTTGGGTATTATGGAAAAATTATGAAGTATACAAACCGGACTTAGAATCAGTACAAACCATACAAACATACGAACAGTACAAACTAGAGCGACAAAACATACAAACATTATAAACGTATGAACTGTACAAACAATACAAACTAGACCGACAAACAATACAAACCATACAAAAAGAAAAACAACCGGGTTGACTTTTGAGGCTACATCCCTATATAGAGGGGCTCCTTCCCAAAGTCAACCCGGGTGTTTTTTTAGACATACAAACAGTACGAACATGGTTGACAAAAATGACAAACTAGACCGACAATCCATACGAACGGGAAAAAACTCCCGGGTTGACTTTGGAGGCTCCATCCCTATATAGAGGGGCTCCTTCCCAAAGTCAACCCGGGTGTTTTTTAGACATACAAACAGTACGAACATGGTGGACAAAAATGACAAACTATACCGACAATCCATACGAACTGAAAAAACACCCGGGTTGACTTTGGAGGCTCCGTCCCTATATAGAGGGGCTCCTTCCCAAAGTCAACCCGGGTGTTTTTTAGACATAAAAAACATTACAAACATGGTGGACAAAAATGATAAACACGATACACAAAAATAACAAAGTTTACAAACATTACAAAAAAACCGACAAACATTACAAAATAACAAAGCGTACAAACATTACAAAAAAAACTCGACAAACATTACAAAATAACAAAGCGTACAAACATTACAAAATAAACCGACAAACAATACAAAGCATACTAACATTACAAAATCTCTCTCTCTCTCTCTCTCTCTCTCTCTCTCTCTCTCTCTCTCTCTCTCTCTCTCTCTCTCTCTCTCTCTCTCTCTCTCTCTCTCTCTCTGGGGGACGAACCAAAAAAATAAGTGGCACTGGTTGGCAGGAACGTTTTTTGTTTTGGTTGAAAGAGCAACGGCAGGAACGCACCGGAACGCACCGGAAAAGACTGACGGCGTCGCCGGGAAATTCTGACCGGCGAGGAGACGGGCTGGACGGCCGGGGTCGCTACTGTTGGATTTTTAATTATTAATTTCTGAAAATAAAATAATCATGTAATTACTACACTACCCTTCATTAAATTGAATTAATTAGAGCCATTGGATTTTAATGAACTTAAAAGGCTAGGATTGACTTAGGCAAGTGACTAAGGGACCACCCCTTAGTCACCTGATCTTAGCCCGTAAAAGACACTAGATCGAATTGATAACTGAATGTACGCAACAACATTCTATCTTTCTCTATTGCATTCTTCATTCTCATTCTCATACCGTCCATTGAAGCGAATCAACTTTCTTTCTCCGATTGCTTGTTAAAATCATCACGCATTGTCTTCAACTTCTTTTTCAAATCATCTGCAAAATGAATTATATGCGCACACGAAACTCAAAAGATCAATGAATGAGAAATCAGAAAACGAATTCTTGATCCATAATAGATAGATTGATGGACAAGGCACCTGAAAGAAGATGACGATCCAAGACGATTTCGATTCGCAAGTAGTTGTTTATTCTGCACCCGATTCTAAGCTCGATTCTAAGCTCCGGTTCGAGCAACTTATTGGTCACATACGCCAGAGTGCAATACGAATTCCCTAACAACCTTGCCTCCTCAATCTGTTTGCTGATGAATCGATGCAAACCCTTTCTCTTCCAGTTTCAACAACTTCTCCTTAAACCAAAGTTGAAACCTGAAAGCGAATTTCAGCTTCGGCGAGCAAAACTAATTTTTTACATCCCGAAAATGCCCTTCCCTTTGGGCCTTATTTACCTAAGAAACCCGAACCTTTCGGCTTTCCCATGAGCGGAGCAGATTCTCATTTGAGTCTCCCTCCACTTTCCCTTTGCTCCGAGCTTCATCTCCCGCCAAAAGTCTCCGACTCCCTAAGCTCCCACTCGGTTTCTCCACCTGTAAATGTCGAAGTCGAAGACATCCTCTTCTTCGTGGCTGCCCCAATTCAATCCGGGCGACCGGGTCGAGATCAGCTCCGACGAGCCCGGGTTCCGGGGATCCTGGTTCGCCGGCACCGTCATCCGCCGCGAGGCGAAGAACCCTAATCGCTACGTAGTCGAGTACGACAAGCTCTACGAGGACGAATCTGGGGAGAAGCTGTTGCAAGAAACCGTCGATTGGGTAGAATTGCGCCCGCCGCCGCCGCCTCCCGAGAAGAAGAAGGTGCAGCTCAAGTTCGGCGACGAAGTGGAGGCCTTCCACAGCGACGGATGGTGGGAAGGGGCTATTACCGCAGAGCACGCCGACGGGAAATTTGCTGTGTTTTTCAGAAGTTCGAAAGAACAGATTGTCTTTGAAGAGAAAGAATTGAGGTTGCGCAGGGAGTGGGTTGAAGGGAAGTGGGAGCCGCCATTCGAGCAGCGTCAGCGGGAGAAAGAGGTGAGCTAATTGGATTTTATCGCTTTTTCCTGCTCTGTTGTTTGCTTTAACAATTCTAATGGATTCTGAATCTTGGTTGTGGAAAGTTGAGAATTGAATGATTAGAGGTAGCATTTGTTATTGTTGACACTATCTCAAACTCTGTGAATCTCTTCATAAACATGCAGAGGTCTCAAGAGAAAGCTGACTCTAGGCCAAGCAAATTAGCGAAACGTGAGAGTTCTTCTGTTAACAATGCAAAATCACAGAGGACCAACTCCACGAAAGTTGGAAAAGGGGAGAAATTGTCTGAGCCGGAGGCAAAACCAAATCCTCCCGAGGAAGTGGTGAAGTTCACTCAAGGAATGCAAGTCGAGGTGACAACTGACGATGAGGGGTTCCAAGGCGCTTGGTTTGCTGCAACAATTATTGAACCTTCGGGTGAAGACAAGTTCCTCATTGAGTACAAAACCCTGACAAATGAAGATGATACGGAGTTTCTTAGAGAAGAAATCCGAACTTGCCACATAAGGCCTTGTCCACCGAAGACCATTATTGTGGATGGATTCAAGGTGATGGATGAAGTGGATGCTTACTATAACGAGTGCTGGTGGGTTGGTGTGATTGCAAAGGTTTTGATCAACTGCAAGTACATGGTTTACTTTAAAGATACTGATGAGAAGATAACGTTCAAGCAGGCTGATTTGAGGCCACATCAGGACTGGTTGAACGGCAAATGGGTTGTCCCTTCAAAGGTCAGAATTTTTATTCTCTTAACTTACTACTAGCTTTTTCAGAAAATGGTTTAGTTTGTTGAACGGATCTGAACTCGGTGTATCTCGATGGATTGTGTTTTTTACTTAATGTTGCAACTTGTTGCTAAATTTGTTGCACATACTGAATGTGTGGAAATCTGAATGAACATCTCAAAATGTATCAGAGAACTAATAGTTTGCAGATGTTTCTCTAAGGGATTATGTGTGAAAAAGATTGATCTGTTGATGTTGAATGCTCCTAGAGTTCGGTCTAAACTAGAACTCGGGGGCTGGCTTTATCAAGGATTCTTAAAATGGAAGGATTTGTAGATGTATTTGTTTGGTTGAGTGATTAGCAGAAATGAATTATTGTAGCATACATGAGACATCTCACAAATGTGTCCTTTTGAGGGAATTAAATCGTTGTAGAAAGAAGAGATTTCGTATCCATCCATTTTCGAGTTGTTGCTTATTCAGACAGATGATTTTATACAGTCTTTCATGTGAGAGATCATCATAGTCTCTCATTCAGAGGAACTCTTATCTGAGAAATCACCATTTTTGCTTACTGTTCTGCGTTTGAAACACGCATCCACTTGGTGGATGAGTTCGGAATCAAATTCGTTAGTACTTATGTCTGCTTCATTTTTTCCCTCAGGCTCTGAAGCAGTGATTTCTGGGACAAAGGCCAACAAGTTTTGCTGGACATAACTACATAAGCCAACTGTTGAAGGGGTCCATTCAGTTCCTTGAGAGCTGTAGCAGCAAGATGATTGAACAGTCATGACCATTAGTCTATTGGATTTCTTGTCTGCATTCCCCTGTACAACATTCACTCTGTGTTAGGTCTTTTCTGGTTAAACAAACAGTATCTGTTTGCCTCGTGTTGAAGTTTGGATCCCTTTTAGCATGTGCCTTCCAATTGTATTATATTGAGAATGTAATTGGTCGATAGCCAAAACTGTTTCGTTAACAGCTGCAGTGAACTCTTCTCATCCAAATCTGACTTCTTAATACATTTCAACCCCCAAATGTTTCCAGGGATATGCATGATCCTATTCGGCTTGTAATTGCAGAACCGAACCGAACCGAGAGTACATTTAGATTGAAGATAAAGGAAATATGAGAACCTGAGTTAGAATCAAAACCACATTTTATCTTCTTTTCATTCGGCTTGGTACTTTATGGAATTGAAACCCAAAAAGCCTCAGAAATTTGAGAACCGAATCCATTTAATCCGATATGATGCAGACTGAATCGTTGCGCAGACCAATAACCCTTTCATTGATTCTTGGTGTACTTCACTTGTGTCCAGATGCCAGAAACCCAGAAAGAATCAAACTTTTTGTAGAACAGATGCAATTTTATTATCAACGTGATGAAAGCAAGTAAAGTACAGAGAAAACAACAGCAAGAAGCTAAAACGACAACACGAAACTGGGAATTTTTTGACATGCTGCTAAACAGAACCACACTTCTCTTAATCACCTCATGGCTATATGGTTCTTTCTCAAAGCTTCTCCACTGAACAAAGACGCGAACTTTAAGCTTCCTTCACTACAACAGCTTCCGCTGGAGCAGCAGTAGTTTCCTCCTTAGCAGCAGGTTCCTCAACCTCGAACACAGCAGTAGGGAAAGACCTGTACAGCCCAGTTGGGGACTTGAACGTAACTTTCCCAGTAGGCGGCTCATCGGTATAGATATCGCAGAGGGAAACCCAAAGCAGAAGCTCTTTCGTCTTCACACCTGTCAGCTTCTTGATCTTCCCCTTTTCAACCACTGCAGTCACCTCTGGCGCATATGTCACAAGTTTCCCAATTTTGTCGAACTTGTGAGTGACGCTCTTCTTCTGCTTCAGCCAGACGAACCCTGTCTCCCTGTTGATCCCACATTCCACGATGTCGTGAAGTGGCAGCAGCCCATTGGGGAGCTGGATCTCCTTGAGGAGCTCCTTGGATTTGGCCTGGCAGATCTCGTCGCCATTGTAGACCTCCGTGGCTTTAGCCCTGATCTCTTCTGTGACTAGAGACATCTCCTTTTGTTTCTCGTGAAGATATGGGGGGAAAAGAGCAACGTTTATGTGATATGATGGTGGAAGTTGGGAGGGATTTTTTTGAGAGGTAGAGTGGGGCAAAAGGGGATGGCTTGCTTCCATCTCCATGTAGATATAGTAGTTGGGGTTATGATTTAGGCTTGGTGATGGGGCGAATTTCGGAAATGCCACTGCCCATGTTTCTTTCTTTTGTTCTGTTGAGAGTCCAAGATGAGTAGGAGGGGAGAGGACAGATAGAGAAAAAGGGTTGATTATGGTGTTTAGAGTACTTGTTAGGCCATGTTGACTTTCATTTTCGTTTCCTGTATTCTGTTTTCATGTCATAAATTTGGCAACCGAAATAAAAAAACTTGTTTACTTTTCATTCTGTTTTCTATTCGTTTCCAACTATGAAAACAAAAAGTGGTAACTTCCTGCTGTTTTCGGAAACGACAAAATGTTGTTTTTACCTGTTTTCAACGTCTGTTTTCTAAAAAACACGAAACAAAAATGAAAATAAACATGCCCTTAGTTTAGCTACACTTTTGTTATGTGTGGCTTGAAATGTGGTGTCATCAAGATTGTCCTTCTTTGTATATGGTTTTGTGGTGTGATGAGAAAATTCACGATTGAAATGAACTTAGTTTGATTATTCGTACTTAAGTGGGTTATTATTTGTTGTCATATGTTTTACTTAAATTATCTTGACTTACAGAGACTTCTTTTCTTTTCATTCTCTTTCTTTTCCTTTCATAGACATTTTAGTATTTTAACACTAAAACATGTGCCATAAAAATATAACCCAAACCTATTTAATTTTAGATGAAATCATATATTTGGATCTGACAAAATATTTCTTGTCATATGTTTTACTTAGATGGTCTTGAAATAGAGGAAATTTTATCTTGTTTTCTGTCTCTCTTGCTTTTCCTTTTGTAGGCATTTTACCTCTAAAACATACACCACAAAAACACAACCCAAACATATTTATTTATAGATAAAATATTCTTCATCCGTTTCCACCTACAAATGCTTCCAGCCCAGGGATGTGCATGTACGATTCGGCTCGTAATTGCAAAACCGAATCAAATCCGAGTAAATTCATATCACAATTCACAGATAAAGGAAAAATAAGAACCTAAATTAGAATTAAAACAATATTTCACCTTATTTTCATTTAGCAAGATAATTTATGAAATTAAAACCCAAAAGTTCTCAAAATTTGAGAACCAAAACGATTTAATTCGATATGACGCAGACTGAATAGTTTCTCAAACTAGTAACCATTACAATTTTCACTTCTCACGGTTCGAGCTCAGGTCATCTCACGGTCTACCAATTGGAGAGTCACAGTCGTACCTCGTCCTTCCCTAACCATGACTTGTCATTCATCCACAGAAGCACGTCGTCACATCATGGCCATGTCCGGAATGTCACGGAGTCGTGACTTGGCATACATCAGCCGTGACTCATCATTCGTCCACATAACTCATAAGTGTATCACCACGTCATGGTCCAGTACAGAGTGTCACGACCCTAGCCGCTAGTCATGACTTGTCATTCACCGACCGTGACTTCACTCTCTGTCAATGTATCGTGTGTCCTAGGTCTCTTAATAGACATTGACTCTTTTGTTCTTTCATACAACAAGTTAAAATCCTAGTAGCCCTTTTCCTTGTCATATAAAGTTCAATAGATGTTGTGTAAATGGCTAAGCTTATATTCTGAATCATCAAAAGGATAATGAGATCTCAGTTGAAAGCTCCTTCGAGCTCTCAGTGAATTAGTCTTGTTCGTTCTGAACAGAGATACCATATAAATTGTTGCCTTGTGTTCTTATTTTTTGATTTGGTAAGTTTTTTCATGGTATTAGAGCGAACGCCGATCTACTATGGCTCGCTCTTATATGTCTTCATAACCTTTTGCATCTCACCCAGCCGCCTGGGAGGAGTCTACCGTCGATGGACATCATGAGCTTCAAAAATCATAGCGCTACCAAGAAGAAGGTAGCCATCCATGTGTATGGCGTGATTGGGCCTAACCCCTTGTTTCTCCATCCTTTCGGCACGCCAGGCCATGTATTCATTGGAGAACTACTCACGAACTCTAACTATGATGAGTAGTTTGCTGAAATTTTCAATGCCCTCATTGCAAAGAACAAGTTGGGGTACGTGTTGGGTACGATATCTCAACCAACTTATGGAGAAGAACTTTAAGCCTGAATTCGTTGTAATGCCATGGTAGTTGGCTAGCTTCATCATGCGATGACAAAAGAAATCCATAGTACCCTTAGCACTGGGGTCACTACAAAATAGATTTCAAATGAGTTGAAAGAGCACTTCAGCACAGGAAACTTACCCAGACGTTTCAAAATCACGCGCAAGATCACCATTAGACAAGACTGTTAGGGCGTATCTACCTTCTATACCAAGCTCAAACGTCTATGGGATGATATGTTAACTCTTGATCCTCTAGCAGCATATACCTGTGGTAATTGTGAGTGTCAAGTCAAAGCACACAGTTGTGCCTCCCACGTTGCCATGAGATTCCTTGACTTTCTCGCCGGACTGAACGATGGCTTCTTTATTGTCCTTACACATCTTCTTTCTTTGAAGCCCATTCCTGTACTTGGCGAGGTTTATCATGTTGTTGCGAATGATGAACATCAATGAAGACTTTCTTGAGATCATCGTCCTCGTGCTGAACCAGCTGCCTTTCGAGGAAGGGGGGCTTATCCTTAATGAAGAGCGAACACTTTTGAGCCGCCCTTTTTGCCCTCATCGCAACTAGCCCGATCACTTCAAGTATACCTATTTTGAGCTCCATTATTGGTCGTCTCGCATTGGAGAAAAGGGAGACAAAGGGAGGTGTTCTCGTTGCCGGCCTCAGTCACAACAACCCTACTCCGAAACCCATGCACCAGCTTTGGAAAGCTCTGATTTTGTCATTCCGGGATTTTTCGCAACTCAATTGGCTCAACTCAAAGCTTTCTTGAACTCGCCTCCCCAGCCAGCTTCCATGCTAGCAGTTAACCTCGCAAGTAATGATTTCTCTTTTTCTAATACTTGGGTCATTGATTTGGGATGTAATGAGCATATTTCTAAAGATAAATAATTGCTTTTCGATGATTTGGAGATAAATTCACCTTTACAAGTTACGATTCCCAATGGAAAGGGGATCCCAATTTTCGAGATTGGTATATCCCAATTAGCCAATGGCTTCATCTTACTATATGTGTTGTATGTTCTGGATTTTTAGTGCAATCAGTTAGTCGCCTCACAACTTATCATCTAGTGGCTTTGATCTTTTTAACTGATTTCTTTGCCATTAAGGACTTGAACTCTAAGAGGATGATTCTGATGGGTAGGCACAAGAAGCATTTTGTGATTCCTCACTATGGCATGCGAGACATGGTCATCTGTCATAATCAAAACTCACTGCCTTGCAATCTTACATTTCTAATACTTTATTCATCAATAAAGACCTGTGTCTGTCATGTTTACGAGCTAAGCAAACTCGTCTTCCTTTTTCGCTCAGTAGCATTAAGATGCACTATTGTTTTGAGCTTATTCACATATACATTTGGGGTCGTTATAAACAATATTCTTTTAGTGGCCCTCATTAATTTTTTCATTATTTTTGGTGATTGTAGCCAATCTATCTGGGTCTATTTACTAAAGCACAAGTCATAGGTTGCAAGATAGTTACTACTCTTTTTCAATCATGTTCGTACTTAATATGATTTTTGTATTAAACATATTGGAAGTGATAATGGTTTGGATTTTATTGTGTCTAAGTTACAGGATTACTATGAAATGGAGGGCATCATTATCCAAATCTCGTGTACTGATACTCCCCAACAAAATTAAGTTGTGGAGAGGAAGCATCAACTATTCGACATTGCTTGAGCTTTGCATTTTCATTCTAGTCTGCCACTTGAATTTTGGGGGAGTGCATTATCACTGATGCTTACCTCATTAAAAAAATGTCCCTAATTTCCATTCAGGATAAGACTTCGTATAAAGCATTACTCCGCAAACCTCCCAAGCATGATACCTTATTTTCTCGAAAGACACTCAGTGTGAACTTTCCAAGTTTGCGCCTCGTGGACGATCTGGGACCTTTGTTGAATACCCTGCCTCTTAGTGTGGTTGTCGTGTATATGATTTGAAAAATCATCGTATCTACACATCTAGGGATGTTTTTTTTCCTTAGAAACCCATTTTCTGTTTCATGCGACCAGTCCATCATCCCCACATGCACCACCTCTTTCTGTTCATGTTCCCAATGATGACACATATGATCCACAACTTTTGTCCTCTCCGAGTAGTGGCTCTCATGGTCCTACGAATGCGCCTCCCTCTTCACATCATCATATTTAATTCCTTTGCGGTTAATCCTTTTACAACTTTCGAGGCCTCATCTACCTCGATTTCATCCATTCTTGAGAAGCATTCTTGTGTTGCAGTATTGCTTCGCCCGACTCTCCAGGCTCCTCCTCCCTTCTGGCATCCCCTCTCAGTCGAGTCACCATATGTCCAAGCCCTTGGTTCACATGGAGGGTTATGATGTTGATCTCCCCACCTATGCCCATCATGCGCGAGTCAAGTATCCTTTAGAAGCACATCTTAATTATCATCGACTCTCCTCTTTCCATCGTGCCTTCGTGGTCACAGTTACTTGCACCTTTGAGCTATGCTACTTCCACCTGACCGTTTGCTACAAGGAATGACGTGATTCCATGCATGTGAGGTTCATGCTTTGATCACTAATGAGACATGGTGTCTCTCACGTCCTCCTTTGGGTGCTCATATTATCGATTGAAAATGGGTCTATAAGGTAAAGTACGAACCCGACAACTCTATCAAGCGGTACAAAGCTTTCCTTGTTACAAGAGGGTTCAATCATATTGAAGGTATTGATTATCATAATGATACTTTTTTATAAGATTCCAAACTCGTGAAAGTTTAGGTTCTTTTTATCACAGTCGTGCAGCCTCAATCAAACTTGGATAGCTCGATTTGATCTTCAAACGAACATAAAAAATAAAGGGATTCGGGAGGGGGGGGGGATAGATACTCGCCACAATAAAGTAAGATCGCTTGATTGATAAGAGTCTTGCCAAGCTCTTCTGGAATCTTCAACAGAAAAACTCAAACAAGGATCTTTCCCTAGCTATGGAATTCAACGATAGCTAAACCAATAAACCATAAGCACATGGATCCGTGGGGAATAATACACCTCGTGTAAAATTCTTATTCACAAAACCTAATCTCTAAAATTCGTGTTCCCTTTATATAGCCCAGGGCAAATAAAATAAGCAAAAATTCAAAGAGAAACAAAAACCTAAACCTAAAAGGAAGGCCAAACTCGGATAGACCCAAAACTCGGTCCAAATACCCGATCATGTATTTGTTGTCTCACCCGGGGGGTCTCCTGGACTGAATACCCGGTCTCCCCTTAAAAATACCCGGTCGGGTATTTTTAAAAATGGTCGGGTTTCCCGCTGCGGGAATCACATCAGTCCTCCCCGTTGGAGAAGCTTTGCCTTCAAAGCTTTCCATCCTTGCTTCCAGATGAAATTCACTAAAGTCCTCCAGCCAGGTTCACCATCTTCTTGCCTCTTCTTCCTATACTTTCACTAACAGAAAAGCCAATTATCCATAGAAAGATGAACGTTACGCCCTGCTTCTTTCCATGAAAGTCTCGCCCCCATTCTGCAAATCCAGCGGTCGTTGTTCTTTGTTTAGCAGTGACAGACCTCAAAGCTTGGGAGATTCTGCAAGAAAAAATCATCGTAAAAAGGATCGTGATAAACCATCTGCTCCCTTTCCACCATGACCACCTCATAGAAACCACGTCGTTTCCTTCAAGGAAATTGTCAAAGCTTGTGGCTTCCTTTAGCTCGTCCTCTAGCTCAACATCGAATTTCTCTGGTTGCTGCACCGAAGAACTCGAACTCAATCTCGGCTCAGCCATGGTTTGAAGCAAATCTTCCACTTGAGTCATCTGTGCCGCAAGAGGTGTCAAGGCTTCTTCTTCATACTCTCGCTATAATCGTTGCAAAGCCTTCCAATCATCAGCAGATTCCTCTAGAGATAAAGGTTTCAAAATGAATACCTTGTTCTGATGCCGCGATCGGAAGCTTTTGGAACTTCTGCTGACCAGATGAACTCCAGGATCTTGGAACCAGGTTTGTCCCACAAAATCTGATTTGAAAGCTTGGACACCATGTCGCACAAAATCGTGTTTTCATATATGCCAATCGAAAACTTCACAGAAACTTGTCCAAATACGATGCTGGAAATCTTCTCACTCGGAAACGGTAGGATGTATGGAGCTGGATGTAGACGCATTGGCAGCCCCAATTTCATCAATGTTCTTAAGTTGATCAAATTTGATTTGATCCCTCCATCTACAAGCACATAATACACCTTCTCTTGAACCAAACAACGAGTATAGAACAGATCACCTTGCTCTATCGCTTCAGGCATTTCTAGATCTTTTCTTCTTCTACTGTCCATTGATTTGAACCGCGCTCTGATACCACTTGATAAGAATCCTGAACTCGTGAAATTTTAGGTTCTTTTGTCAAAGTCGCGCAGCAACCATTCAAACTTGGATAGCTCGATTCGATCTTCAAACGAACATAAAATAAAGGATGCGTGGGGTAGATACTCGCCACAATCAAGTGTGATCGTTTGATTGATACGAGTCTTGCCAAGCTCTTCTGTAATCTTCAACAACAAAATAAAAAATAAAAAAACAAACAAAGATCTTTCCCTAGCTATGGAATCCACCAATAGCTAAACTAATAAACCATAAGCACGCAACTCCATGGAGGAAAAACACACCTCCGCGTGAAATTCTTATTCATTAAAACCTAATCTGTAAAATTCGTGTTTACAACCCTTTATATAGCCAAGGGCAAATAAAATAATAAAAACCCCAAAAATAAACAAAAACCTAAACCTAAAAGGAAGACAAAACTCGGATAGACCCGAAACCCGGTCAGGTATGTTGTTGTCTCGCCCGATGGGTCTCCTGGACTGAATACTCGGTCGAGTATTTTCCAAAAATCGTCGGGTATTCCCGCTGCAAGAATCACATCACTTTTGCTCATGATGTCTTTTTGCATATACCGTTAGTAAATGTCGATTCATTTATCAATTAGATGCCAACCACCTTTACAAGTATTTTTGTGCTTCAAAATTTGAAATCGGGCCAAACACCTTTAAAAGTCTTACTTTTCAAAAAGTTGAAAGATGCGTTTTACAACATAAGAGCGTAAACTCTAATTTGAAACTTTTGCAAAAAGCTGCTTTCAAAATATAAGATTATAATTATGACATTTTATTTTTTCTCCCTCAAAATATACTTTTCTTTTATTTATATCATTAAAAAAACTAAATAAAACTAAAATAATTATTATTTAATATAAAAATATCAACAAGCGACTATTTTTAAATTTTGATTCACAAGTTATATTAAAATTCATTTGAATCAATCAAACACTCAACTGATTTTTTTGAAAAATATTTTTCTAAAAACTACAGCATAAACTGTTTTTGAAAAATGCACCGTATGCCAAACTAGCTCATTGACTCTTTCATTTTTGTTGCAACCGGTTAAACCCTAATATCCCCTTTTCCTTCTCATATATAAGTTTAGTAGATGTTGTGTGAATGACTGAACTTGTATTATGAATCATCAAGAGGATAATACGATCGCAATCAGGAGCTCTTCAATGGATTAGTCTTCTTCGTTTTCAATTAACATGGATAGACACCACATAGATGGCGCCTTGCATTCTTGTATGTTTGGAGTTCAACGATTTCTTTTAGTAACCCTTTCATCATGTACCGCCTCACAAAATTGCTACTCTTGACTAACCGAATTATCTCCTCGACAAGGTACTTAACGTCGCTTAGTTCCATCATCTTCTTTCCGAGCTCGACATGCTTGATATCCACGCCTTCAATTGAGGGGGTGTATTACAATTGTCACTTCTCACGATTGGAGCTCATGGACATCTCACACTCTCCCAATACGAGAATCACGGATGTACCTATTGTAACGTATCATTCATCCACATAAGCATGTCTTCACATTATGACCATGTACGGAGCGTCACGTCCCAAGCCGTGGCATGCCATCCATCAGTCATGACTCATCATTCGTCCATAGAAGGCACCACGTCACGGTCCTGTATGGAGTGTCACGACCCAAGCCGTGACTTCTCTCTCTGCCAGCTCTGCAGTGCATTCTAAGTCTCTTAATACACATTCCCCATTTTTGCCCGACTTTTAGAAGTATTTTTGTGCTTCTAAATCTGAAACCAGGTCAAACACCTTTAAAAGTCTTACTTTTGAAAAAGTTGAAAGCTGCTTTTTACAACATAAGAGCGTAAAATCTAATTTGAAACTTTTTCAAAAAGCTGCTTTCAAACTTTTCCCTCAAAACATACTTTCTTTTATTTATATCATTCAAAAAACTAAATAAAACTAAAATAAATATTGTTTAATATTAAAAAAATTCAACAAGCGACTATTTTTAAATTTTGATTCACAAGTTATATTAAAAGTTCATTTGAATCAGTCAAACACTCAACTGATTTTTTTGAAAAATACTTCTCTAGAAACTACAGCAGAAACTGTTTTTGAAAAATGCACAGTATGCCAAACTAGCTCATTGACTCTTTCATTTTTGTTGCAACTGGTTAAAACCAAACCCTAATATCCCCTTTTCCTTCTCATATGTAAGTTTATTAGTAGATGTTGTGTGAATGACTAAAACTTGTATTCTGAATCATCAAAAGGATAATACGATCTCAGTCAGGAGCTCTTCAATGGATTAGTCTTCTTCGTTTTCAATTAACATGGATATATACCACATAGATGGCGCCTTGTATTCTTGTATTTTTTGAGTTCAACGATTTCTTTTAGTAACTCTTTCATCATTGCTTCTTTTGTATTTCACTCCCGTCGAGAGGGCAGCAACCCAAAAAAAAAAAAAAATCAAACTTTTTCGCACAACCGTTCCAATTTTATTATCAACGTGATGAAATCCAAGTAGAGTACATAAAAACAACAACAACAGCAAGCAGCCAAAGCGAGAATTGCCATGCTTGCTAATAAACAGAAACCCGTACACTTCATGCGGCACTTAAACCACTTACTCTGAATCATCTCACAGCCATCGAATAAAGACGCCAACTTTAAGCCTCCTTCACTTCAACAGCTTCCGCTGGAGCAGCAGCAGCAGCAGTAGTTTCCTCCTTCGCCGCGGCTTCTTTGGCAGCAGCAGCAGCAGTTTCCTCCTTCACCTCAACCACGAACACAGAAGCAGGGAAAGTCCTGTAGAGCCCAGTTGGGGACTTAAAATGAAGAATCCCAGTCGGCGGCTCGTCGGTGTAGATATCGCACAGAGAAACCCAAATCAGAAGCTCCCTGGTCTTGACACCTGTCAGCTTCTTGATCTTCCCCTTTTCCACCACGGCGGTCACCTCCGGCCCATAGGTGACAAGCCTCCCGATTTCTTTGAACTCGTGGGTGATGCTCTGCTTCTGCTTCAGCCAGACGAACCCTGTTTCTCTGTCGATCCCACACTCCTCGATGTCGTGAAGTGGCAGCAACCCGTTGGGGAGCTCGATCTCGGCCAGGAGCTCCTTGGATTTGGCCTGGCAGATCTCGTCGCCGTTGTAGACCTCCGTGGCCTTGGCCCTGATCTCGTCTGTCACCAGAGACATCTTTTTTTTTTTTTTTTTTTGCTTTGTCGTTAAAGTTTTGGGGGGAGATGGTGGTTTGGAGTTGGGATGGTCTGATCTCGGCTTGCTCAACGTACATATAGTAGTTGGGGTTATGTATGTGGGCTTGGTGATGGGACAAATTTCGGAAATATGCCACTACCCATGTGTTCTTTTGTTTTGTTGTTGTTGAAAGTTGAAGATGATGAGTAGGAGGGGAGAGGACGGATAGAGTAGGAGGGGAGATGAAGATGATGTTGTTGTTGAATGTTGAAAGATTTGATGAAAATGTTTGGGAAATGTCCTAATCAAACAGACTATGAGGATAGGAGATTGAAGATCAAGCCATCCTAAATCAACGGCTAGATGAAATTGAAAATGAAAAAAGAAAAAGTAAAACATAGCGTTACTGAAGCAGATGTTTTTAAAGTTCGGTAAGGAAAAAAAAAATTGGTCCAACATATCGTACCCGACTGAGAGAATGGCTCATGCTAATACTAGCCACTTAGCGAAACGATCTTATACAATCTATGAGTTTAATGGAAGAAGCTTCAACTGAAGTAGATGATCGATCGATCGTTTAATAATGAACTTGTTACCACAAAAAGGCACGTGTTTAAACCAAATTATCCTCACAGACCCGAGGAAGATTTTCTTCACGAGGACAACCCTTTAAGAACGGTCATAAGTTCATGTATTTTTCTTAATATTGTTTGTGAAAAGCATGTATCCTAAAGGATAGATGATGGGATTACAATCGTTAGGATAACGGTTAAAGCATGCAACTTTACATCAAATCAAGCCTATGAGCTCGGTTAAGTAATCATGGTAGGATATACCCAAAATTTTCAGAATATACTGGCATCTGACGCCGCAATAAATGATAAAATCGCTAAAGAAGTTTTACGTGAATGCATTTTGGCAATAGTAGCCAATGACTTGAAAAGAGAATTTTGTGGATTTAAGTTATCATCAATTGAAACTTTAGAAAACGATCAATCTATAATGGTCCTCATGAAACTTCAAATTTGTGACAAGTGTTATTTTGATAGCTACATTTGTGAATTTCGAAAATAATATTACAATATAAACTTAGTGTCTCAAGAATGCAGGAACAAGTTGTTCTTTGCTAAGCTACCAAATCCTTAGTTAGAAGTAGGAAAAAACAACTTTTGATCTCCTACTTAATAAGAATTAAATTGTTGATGGATTAGGAGGAAGAATACAAGCAGTAATGTTATGACATGAGAAATGCATGTACTGAACTTTAAGTTAGGGAGAATGCTAAAAGGCTTCCCTATCTTAACGATAGTTGTTGTGCCCATATAGAGTATGTTCCGGGTAGGAAAGGACGTTCTAATGAATCAGAGATAGTGAAAGGATTAACGCATTCAAGATAAATATGGAAGAGGAGTGAAATGTCCTAAAAGGGAAACCTTTGAGCAACTATTCATGTTGTTGGGTTTATGGATCGAAAGATCACAAAGCTAATCCTTGTCATAACAAGAGTAGAACATAAATTATTTGAAGGATCTTGTTTGAAAGCAAACAATTAGCCTACAAGCCCATTGATGAAGATGAGTTGTCGGAAGTAGATTCTGAGGTAGGATTAGTTGACGAAGTAGTGTCAGAATATGAATCAGACACCCAACTCTAACTCTTCATGAATAATGAAGAGTTAGTCCGATTGGATAACACTCTGGTACAAGAAGAATCCATCATGTACGATGACCAATCCACTAATAATTTATAGTGGAAACTGCCTGAATTAGACAATAATGCTATCAACAAAAAATAACTATTTAACTTCAGATATATACTAAATGTTTCCCATTTAGAACACATCACTAAGGGTGAATATAAATTATATTCACATAGGATTAGTTCAACTTGGACTAATACTATTATTCCATTTGCCCATGGATAGATAGCTGTTGTTATTGATGAACGCTAGAAAGAGTTCAATGATCAATTAATATCAGGATTTCAAACAAACTTCGCATATGACCCTATTTGGTTCCAATCCTATCAAAATTATCTCATTACCTTGGACGACAAGTGTCTAGGGAAATCTTTACATTTTAGAATGAAGCCCATGAACAAGGATAAAATGAATGGTCAGGTTAAATACTTGGCATATCATACTAGGTTGCTTTACCGCTTAGTTAACAATACATACTTTAGTTTTTAGAATATCTCAAAATTCACTTAGTTATTTGAAGAAGGGTCAAACCATCTTAAGTAATTCCGTAGAAAGGAAATAAAAACTTTAGAATTTTCTTGACCTAGGAAGTGGGTATTAAGAGATCTTGGTGAAAGCTTGCAATCACTTGGAACATCTCAAATATGTCAACAAGGTTATTAAATTTTACTACATTTCGAAGAACCACGGTTGTAACATTCTACTTCTACCCGAATACCTCAGTCATACCCAATCTTCCACCTATTAGAGGAGTTGAACAAGAATCAGGTCGAACATATCTCTCCCTATTGGCGTCAACATCATCCCAAAAATTAGTCGACTCTTCCTAAAGGAAGGTAGTGGGTTATCAAGATATTAGCGAGGAAACTTTTAATGGTGGTACAAAAGAACCACAAGAGACCATGATAATGCGCATAAATAATGAGGTTGGTAACATAAGCACTTATATTGAGGTCAAATTCTAATTCCAATTACAAGGATACTTCCCCTACCTCCTAGATACACCAATAGATACAAGATGAATCACATGTGGCGCTCTCCCCAATGACCTTCCTGTAGAGTGGTTGAAACCATTACCAACACTTGTATTTAATTTAAATGGCTAATGGAGATGGAACTTAATTACTCATTTTTTCTCTAATGTACCAGTTGTAATTTCAGGCATTTCCTAAGCTTGATGATGATTTTATTCACGGAAATGCATTCTTAAAAGGGCAACAAAAGAATCTACCTTAAATACAAAATACTCACAATATATCGCTATAAGGTCTCACCGTTCCTGGTATTTCATCTCCTCGAGTAAAACTTAAATTTGAGTTTTTACCCAATTAAAACTTCATCAGTTTGTGGGTTTGAGCTATGTGAGCTAGCTTATAGAGTGCGCACTAAGCGTGGGATACATGGTATCATGAGCTATTTGGTGAATCAGAAATATGGATTGATGAAAATTTTGATGGAGGAATAAGAACTAATATATATTCCACAAAATTATGCTTTTAAACGATGCATAATAGAAGAATTTGTTACTAAATGGTACGAAGAAATGTTTGGATATGGCAAACATATGTTGTGTAATCAAACACAAAGTATCTCTATGATACAAATTATAATACCTAAAGAGCTATCATGGCAAAAGATTTTAACCAAGCTAACCAATAATTTTAGTGAAGATCCACTGAAGTTAGGGAATTTAAATTATATCACAACTAAACTCGAATTAAAATATTCGAAGATAGTTATCAGAGCTGAAAGTATAACATATACAACTCAAATGATAGAGGAGTTTGATAAACAAATTACTAAGTTAATAGAAAAATGATTAATTCATAAAAAAAATTTGCACTCATTCTAGTCTTGCTATCGTGCTAATCAATCATGCACACATGTAATAGGCAAAGCCCATATGATCATAGAGTATCAATAATTTAAAAAAATTACCAAAGATGATGGCTTCATATTCTCTAAGTTTGATCTTAAGAGTGGCTATTGGGAAATTAAAATGGAAGAAGAATCAATTCCTTTAACAAAATGTTCCACAAAGAATGTATGAATGGTTAGCTATGCCATTCGGGTTGAAGAATGCACCTGGGGTTTTTCAAAGAAATATGATTGGTTCTTTTAAAACTCTAAAAACATTTTGTATTGTCTACACAGAAGATGTGTTGGTATTTAGTGAAACAAAGAAGAACCCATGAGCCACCTTGAAAGGATGGTTGCAATGTTCCGAAAGGAAGGAATGATTCTATCCGAGAGAAAGGTATATAGAAGAGTATTGAGAGAAAGTTAATTTCTTGGGTATACAACTTCATATGGAAGAATATGGCTAAAAATTCATATTGTCGAAAAATTAGTAAACTTTCTTGATGAACTCGATGATAGAAAGCAAGTACAAAGATTATGTGGTCTTGCTAACTATGTTAGACATTTTATAAAAGATCGTTCAAAACAATTATAAAATTATCTAATAAAACATCGGGTAAATATAAATATTTTTGAAATTATGAAGACACACAATCTATTAAACTGGTAAAAGGAAGTGTTAAAATCATAATTGTTTAAGTCTACCATCAGATGAAGATGAGTTAGTCTTGGAAACTGATACTTCTAATGAATTTCGGGAGTAATGTTGAAAATCAAAGGAAAGGAAGTATTAGTTGCCAAAAATGGTATTAAGTCTTTCTTTATTATCTTGCTCCTAAATTCATATTACGAACATATTCAACACATGTGAAAAGATTTAAAAATCTCAATCTCAAAGAAGCTAGACAAACTAGACTTTTGAGATTGCAAGAATGGTATAGCTATTACAAATTTGATATCGAATATATTCCTTCTGAGTTCTGACAAGAATGTGATAACTGACACTCTTTCTCAAGAATTTACTAATATTACAGATGGATACTGTTGCAAAAAAAAAAAAAAAAGATTTGCTGGATATGGAAGAGCACCGGACACACTACGAGGAAATGTCCTAACTGGACTACCATAGATAGAGAAAATAAGAGCCACGGAAGTTCTAGCATACAGAGGACGAAATTTCTACGAGGAAATGTCCTAACTAGACTACCATAGATAGAGAATTTTGAGCTTGCTCGAAATTTCTACCAAATAATTTATGTGTGTGATTATTAGCACACTTCAAGAAAAAACAAACGATGTATAAGTTTTTTTTTTTTGCCCCTATCAAATATGAGAAATCTTCCCCATTATATGTGAGAAAATCGTAACGGTTTAAATCCATGCAACCCATGAGTTCAAGACAAAGTATGAGAAGATTAAAATCAGTATACAATGGAAAAGATCTTGAATATTGAATTTTTTAAGACATGTGCAGAAATAATCATAGTCAAAGCAGTTTATCTTGTTCTCCTTAAGTAAGTAAAAAGCTTTGTGGTTCTCCGAACCAAATATATTTGTTATATGGACCTTGATGTGGTGAAAATGGAAAAGAAGAAATGATGGACCTCCTGGTGAGGATTTGGGATAGAGATTTTTATCTCAACTTTCGCTCAAATACAATTGTACGGTGGAGAAAGGACACAAAAAATGTTGAATATCATATGTCCAAAAGATGACAGACATTAGTGGACGACAATATGTGAAGATCGCCGCCACAATAAAATATGTAGCACTCATCATATCCTTTGTATATGTCCAAAGAATCTAAACCATGTGAGTGTAGTGTGTTACGAGATGGAAAACAATACTAAAGGCGCCAGCTATCCCAATGAATCGGCAAACAGTACCAGATGCACCAATTCTTTATATAGCCACATTGTGAGTGTTTATTTCTCAAACTTTAGAAGGAAATCTTATAGAGAAAAAGAGAGAATGACTAAAAAGTTGAGAGGAGAGTATTGTGTAATAGTCCCTTCAGTTTGAATCATTATTATAAATCTTCAGATTTGTCCTCAATCTACCTTAAACACCTTATATATGTTGATGTACCTGTGTGCTTTTCTTGACAGTCTGATGGAGAGGAGTATTTTCATAGTCAGGTCTCGAACTGATCAAGGAAGCAACTAGAAGACAAAGAAGAACCTTGACCTAGTCCTTGGTAGAGCTGATGACGAGAAATAAAAGATTAAAGGCGGAAACTTAGTGGGTCTAGTTACCATACCAGGTATATGATCTTAGCTCTGTTAAGTATCGAGACTAGCATTAATGGTAGTTTACTCTATTCTTACATGAGTAAAGATTGTTAGCGTCCCAAATGTTTTCCTTTAGAACATGGAATTGATAATGATCCTATTATTGGGATTTTAAATTCTACAATAGATCAATAATCCTCTTTGAATATAAGGTGGACAAGTTTTCCAATAATTTGGAAGAACTGACTCTAAGGCAGACTGAAATTGAAGAGTTCGTCTCCAAGAGCAAATCCACAGTAGGGTTTGTTTCTAGTTCTCGATTTAAATACATAAGAGTTTGAAAGGTTTGATAAAATTTGACAAGAGCATAATTATTCTTCTAATTCATAAAAGATCCTTGAGCCGTTCCTGATTAGGAGCAGACTCGTAATAGTTGTTATCAGAGCTTGATTCTAAAGAACAATAATAATATTTTTTAAGTTTGAGTAATATTTTGTGACAAGTTAAAGATACATATGACTGTTTTGAACTTTGGATGACTTAAATGAATCTAGAAACTAGCTTAGTCGCCCAAAACAACCCTCTAGATGGCTAGTTTAGGAAATAGTTTTAAAAGGTGGTTATAATTTGGAAAAAAATTGTGCAAGTTATAATTTGATTATTATTTTTTTGCAGGTTATAATTAGAATTTATTTCATTTTAGATATTATTTTTGTAAATAAGCCTTAAAGCATGCACAACATAAACATTTTTTATTTTAGATTCAAATCAAACATTTGAATCTGATCCAATCGATCTAGGGTGTAAATTCATTCGATTACAACTCTTAAATTAATCTGTTCAACCTTAATTTCATTGAATAAATAAATAAATCAGTCAAATCAAATAAGATATAAACGAATATAATTTGGACGTGATTTTCTCCGATCTGATCTCAGCCTGATAATCTGATTACGTTGCGAAGCTTGGTCATTGTTAGACATGAAAGCCATAGCTTCTCATAGTTCAATTGGATTTTTCTTCTCCTTTAAGTACAATGATGGCTAAGGCCCTCTTTGGTATCATTTCTAGTTTTGTTTAGTTATGTTTTCATCTATATTGTGACAAAAATGGCTGGCACTTGGCAACAAAACAAAAATTATCCGAAAAGAGAAAAATCATTTTAAGTAACTTTCTCACTGTTCACAAAATTTTTTATTTTTTAATTTTATCACTTATTGACATAATTTCATTCAAATGATTATATGACCATCTCACTATACCCACTTTCTACATATTTTTCTCTTTTCATTTGCCCATAACTCATCTCTGAAACCTTACTCCCAGTAAAATACAATTCTATTAGCCAAAGTTACCAAACCTTTCAATTATTTAACCAAACTTTTGGAAATACAAAGTATAGCCAAACATTAACTTCTTGTTAGCATTTTGTTAATAATATTGACTTGACAACAAAATATTGAGTTGGAAGAGACACTTGAGAGTCAATATTTCAAAATTTAGTATTTAATTTAACTTAGAAAAAAATTACAAATTTATTAACGATAACAAAAAAATGGTTAATATTTTGTTGCGTTACAAAAGATCTGGCTTATACTTTGTATTTCAAAAGGGTTGGCTAATTATTTATAAAATTTCGAAAGGTTTGGCTAATATACTGATATCTTTTTCTCTCTAATTTTCTCATACCTCGTCATGCTAACCTATTGCTCTCATTCTTTTCCTAATTTTTATCTCAGTCTCAACTCTCAACATTGATAATAAATGGGTCTAAAGATGTAACAAAAACGTGTTTCTGTTTTCTCTATGAACTAAAATATGTTTATGTTTTCTGTTTTCATACGGTTGTGATTATTACTCCGTTGTCACAATTCTACCGCAACCACAACAACAAAACTATATTATACGAAACGAAATGAAATGAAATGAAGAAAGAAAAAAAAAACCTACCTCATCAACTCAATGTTAACCTTCCTACAATGTAGCCATCTTTTTTATCTCTTGGATTTATGAAAGGGGAAGGGGGCAGAAAGGGTAGGTGAATGGTCCCATATTTATGTGACAGTTAGAACGCACAGTAATGGCAACATGGCCAATATTAAAGGAGGGAGGGAGACTGCTACCCAAATTCCATCAATCTATGAACCAATGTGTGTAAATCTGTTTACTGTTATGGACCTATGGATGGTGATGATTGTGGGAAACAGGGTCGATCACCAATAAAGGGTAAGTGGGTATAACTAATATTTGGTATCACGACCAAATAAATCACTAAAGTTTATAATGATTAACAAAATAATTTGATCCTCGTCTCAATTTGATCTTCCCATCCAAAATATGCATATTATTATCAAATGCTGATCCACCCAATTTTTAGTATAGTGAAGGGTTTTGTATAGAGATGGCACTAGGGTGGCTTATTCTAAACTAATTTTCATCTCCATTTTCAAATCATAAACTCATATTCTCTACATTCCCATGTGATGGAAAATTTTCATCTTTATCTCTGTGATTTTTGGATACTCACATTTCCGGGCTAAAATTCTTTCGAACGTTAATACAATGAAGTTGAAAACATAGATAATTTAGGGCATATTAAAAGAACATCATATATCATAAGCTTGCAATAAAAAGTATGTTATTTATAACAAGAATATAAAGTGTAAGTATCTTAATTATTACAAGAATATAAAGTGTTAAGAGGACATTAGGGTGAAGAGTTTGCACATGCATTATGGAATTGGAAAAGGTGGAATTAAAGAGTTTGGAGTTGTGTTATTTTGAAATTTTGGTAGAGGAAGCCAAGAGAGAATTAAGTAACATTCATCCCCAAATTTGTACTATTGCAGGTGGAACTCTCATCCCCAATTTTGTATTAGGTTTAGGATGGTTTGGTAGTTGTGATTGTTAAAGTTGTGTTTATTGAATATATGTATTGTGCACAATACAATATTTTGAAGTGTCAAAGTGTAAAACAATGCTTGTATTGTTTTAGATAGGTCCCACCAACAATCACAAAAAATGATGCATTATACAATCTCAACTAAAAGTTGTGATTGTAGTGATTGTTGATTTTAGATTTGGTTCCAATTTTTTTTTTTTCATTTATATCCCTATTAGTTTTTGTCTTATACTAAAAGTTGAGGATAAATGTAACATTTCCCCATAAAGTAACTTTATGCAAGTCAATACATAAAATAGAATCTCAACAACCAAACAATGTATTATTAAAATGCATACATTGTACCAATACATATATTTATTTTGTTGTGATTCATTATAATGCAACGATTTAACATTCGCAAGGAAATATAGTATTTATTATGAACTTTAATCCTTATGCTTGGATTCAGATCATTGATCGAATGATCCTATTGGTTTTCTGGTAGACTTATCCAACCTTAGAACTAAAACATCTTTATTTTCATACAAAATTGAAAAGAATAAACTTATCTTGATAGATCTCAATTATTCAGGCAGTTGAAACAATATCCACATTATTTTTCTTATGTGCTCCTGAAGTGAAAATTCCACCTAAATATAAGTGCATGCACAGATTGTCTGATATTTGTCTCATACTTGTCTGGATTTATAACATTAAAGTTTTTTAACACATACTTTTTATTCAGAACTCTAATAAACATATCAAGAATTAATTTATTTCACTAACTCGAGATATCATATAAAACCAATGAAAACAATTACTATCTGATTCCAATTTTGACTCAACTGGTGAATAATTAATTAAACCACTCAACCCCTCCAAGCTTGCTAATCCCAGAAAGTAGCGTATTAATGGGTTTAAGATCAACTAAACTAGGCTTCCTTTATGAACTTTTGTTGCTTCCTTGCCTTATTTTCTTGTGCCATGTTCTTCAAACTACCCATTGCAACATTTGGGAAACCCTTGAGAAAAGGACAGTTCTTTTTGCCATTTACTGCAAAAGGGATCCAATGGAGAAGGAGAAAAAAATAGATGCCAAAAAGTTATGGCCGAAGGTGGGGTAGTAAATTATATGACTTTTTTATGCATTAAACCCTAGTCCTACCATGGGACAATACATTCAATACATATATGATGCTTCCATGGTCCCTGTTCCAACGTGTCAATTCCAGCCCACCATGTCTTAGCATTTACTCATTTTCTCAACTTCCAACAAGGAGCTTCCAATCCAACTCCCAACATAAATTCTTACGACAAACGAATTCAGCTTATCCAATGTCGACCAAATGATACGATGAGTGGTCTCATGACAAAGCTGGTAGCTTTCCTTCCAGCACAAGAAATGGGCGGACATGAGACAGAGACAGAAAGATCAACCCAGTGCTGTTTTGCTGCAAATCTGCTGCTTGCCATGGATTTTTCACAAAGTGGTGAAAAACTTACTAAGGAAAGAAGCTTCACTACGTGAAATGAATGTTTCTTGGTATGCTGGCTGGCTCCTGTTGCAATTTTTCAAGGAGCAATTTGCTTCATCTACCTCCAATGGGAAGGACCCCAGAAAGCTTTTATGAGAATGGTAGTAAAGGAAGAACCAAGAGTTAGTTGCCAAGGGTCCATGGTCTCTCAACTTTCAAGGAGGGGACAGTCATCTGAAAGCAGCTTCAGTATTATTACTCCAGCTTTCCATGGCCATTCCACCACTGTAATTATTTAGCAATGATTCCATGTGTTTCACTTCCTTCGGCATCGACCCTGTAAGGACCTAGTTTGCACCACCAGGGAAAAAGCACCCAAAATCTTTTTATATCTGATTTACGGGACCAATCTAGGCAACGTGGAAAGTTTCCATTAATGCTTAATAGGTCAGTAGACAGGGCCATAGGGAGGTACCTCATAACCGGTTTCTGTAATTAGGACCTCATCCTCAATCCTTATGCCAATGCCTTGGTACCTACAAAACCCGGTAAGATAAGACGCTCGGATTGAGTAGTTGATACATGTTACAGACGTGCTTTCTGTAATATGGTAAGCATGAATATGTCATCAGCAGAATTACCTCTCTGGAACGTCTTCCGAATTCGGTGGAATATATACTCCAGGCTCAATGGTTATGACCTGCTCGAGGAAAGCAGTGCAGGTTGTTAGGTGCACTAAGAGTTGAACTTCAGCATCTGCTGGCATATCACATCCTAACCATACAAATAAAATGGAGATGATGAAGAAGACAGCTTACAACACCAGGCTTCAAGGGACGATCATAGCTCATGGCAGAACTATCATGGACATCCATTCCAAGGTAGTGACCTATCAAAAGGGTAAGAGAAAATAGTAACTAAGAACCAGCTTTACTGCTTCAAGCCACGAGTAGCTACATAATCAAATATATAGCTACCGTTTCATTAGCCATCAGAAGAAATTCAGACAAACCTATAGAAGTTGGATTCAACTGATGGTAAGAATTGCTTCCACTATGTTTCAGAATTCCAATCTCCGCAAGTCTTTTACGCATCATTGAAACCTATTTTGAAACAACCAGGGTGAATTATGGGCAAGTTCGTAAACAGTCTACAACCAAAACAATTGCATCAGGTAAAATATAAACAAGGGATATGAAATACCGAATCATTATGAATCTGTCGAATGCTTGTTCCAGGTCTGCAAAGCTCTATGCATTCTTTGTTTGTCCGAAGAATAAGATCATAAAGTTCTTCCTGGAGTGCATACTTACACCATCAATACTTCGACTTAACAGTTTCAAACAGTACAAAAGAGAGAACTAAGAATTGTCTAGGAGCATCAAGCATTTGCCAAGAATTAACAGACTTCACTACACAATATTGCATATAGAACTATCGCCCTAAATTGATGGCTTTGAACGTCTATAACATTCATTGGTATCTTGGAAAGCTCATTACTAACTGGTAGATTACATACCAACCCTGGGAAAGATGAAATAAAGGGCTAGAGAAAGAAAGACAGCACTTGAAAATGTGAGACTACTAGCAATCACAAATGCAAACAGGAATGCACATGATTCTGGACTAACTAGACTATCTTCATGGCAAGAATGGAAACAAGATGGTGCATTTGAGCATAAAATAGCATTTCAAGCGCTTACTTGTGCGGAAGAGAAACTGCCACATGGAGCCCATGTTCGAGTCAGATCACTGACATAACCATGCAACTCGCATCCAACATCCATCAGAACAAGATCCCCATCTTTAATCTGCATATACATGATCAAAATCATCTCCCTAATAAAAAAAGAATCAAGAACATCATTTATAAATTAATTTACTTACTTTCTGATCATTTCGAGAATAATGTATGATAGCGGCATTAGACCCCCCACCAACAACAGGATTGAATCTGCGAAATAAATAATGCATGTCAAGTAGGATGCAAGACCAACTAAGCTCAAGCAGAGTTTTAGTCAATCAGAATTTCTAGTCTTCTTAGCAATATGAATCAGAGATAAGAACAGGTTAAAAAAATGACAGTTAAGAAACTTAATAAGAAAAAAGCTTACGCCATCCTTTGAGCACCTCTCATTTTGCTTTCATATTGAACTTTTGCAGCCAACATACTCTCATATGGGTAAGTCTTGGAATGTAGCATTGTTTGCAAGAGAGCCTAACCAATAATTGAGAAGATAATAAGCACTAGAAAGACTGGTGAAGGATTTCATCTCCAGAGTGAAAACGATAGCAAGGTGGAAGTACCTGACAAATAATTGATGCAGAGTCTCTCATCAACTTCAACTCAGAAGGTGATTTTACCCACCGTAACTCATGTGTGAAACATGAGAGATCTCTAACCTTGCCCATGATAGCTATACTTTGGAAGGCCTCCAACTCTGTATATGTTGGTACAGCTGTTAAATTGTTATGAAACACCCTGGAACATCCCTTGATCATACCTGGAAGAACCTGTGGCCATTAATTAAAATAAATGACGAGCAAATAAAATAGAAAATGGAAGGCTCATAAAGCGGTTTCTCAAATTAGCATTTCAGTCATTCGTGCCACTGAGAAATCACTTGTTGATATACTGACTAGTCTATTACTCCAATTGATCCTGATAATCTCTTTTAATTGGGAAGATTTAGGCGACACAAACAGTATGATGGTAGACCGAACAATCGAAAATGTATTCAGGAATTATTTCCTAATTGGAGATCAAAGCAAGTCAAATATCTAATATTCTAGACCAGAAATACTCACTTCTCTTAATTTGGTCAAGGGGTATGCTTTCTCAGCTTTGAATCTCTCCAATGCTACATGAACTCCTGCAGTTGGCCCTTGCCAAGTTACATCCTGCACATTCAGAAGACAACCTTGGAAAAGACCAAAAAGAAGAAAGAAGCTTTCATTGATGAAAAAAGAAAACACAGACAACTGAACATACATGAAACGTTGCTTCAGGCATGAACATGCATAAACCAAACTCATGCCCCAAAACTGCCACGCCACCAGGTTGTTGGCATCCAGTAATATACAAGTAATCAGAATCTTGCCGAAATGTGTAGGGTACGACATCGGTCATCATCTTAACAGGCGCAGCAGCAATTATGGCCAAACTATTCTTTGGAAGAAGATCCAATAGCTTCTTCCTTCTTGAGATGTACTCATCGCCACTTATACCAGGTGTAACTTCCCCTTCTTTCATCAGCTGCAAAAAGCGAAGCGAATAACAAAAAGAATTGAACTTCCTTCATAACAAAGCATGTGTATAATGTCAAAACAATGGTCTCCAATTGAAGAAATTTAACAGTATCGAATGATTGGGAAAGGTAGAACGAAGTACCTGAGGATGAGTAGCAGGAGAGGGTTGGCCAATATCGAGGACATCGTTGGTAGAATACTTGTAACTACCAATAACCTGCAGCATAACAATCAGCATCATTGGAATTTAGTTTCCTTTCTGAAGTGAAACACCTATAACCTCTTGAATCAAAAGTGCGCAATAAGCCCAAAGCATTGAACTAAGCATCTTTCTAAAGAAAATAATAAGTTGCCATGCGCAAAATGGAAGATACTCAGAAAAATTAGATTCAGTAAGCAAAGCAACAGATAAAGCGGCCAACCCAAGAGACAATTCGAGGTTCAACTCCCTGACTACTGAACTATAAACGAAGTCCCCAAAATACAAGCAAGTAAAAGCAAATCAATTTATGAATGCGATAGAAAAAAGAGCGATGTAACTTACCCTGCTAAATGGAGCTGTTGGGCGTAGAAACTTGCGGACTAGAATCTGCATAGTTGTTGTGATACTGATTTTCAACTTCCAGTATCAACAAAACGAAGAAAAATAATGCGGGGGAAATCCCCAATTCCAGAAGCTCGCTGCGGCGTTTGAACCGACGAAAACTGGAAGATGGTAGCCTTGAAAAAGTCTAGAAAGATGCGAACTTTACTGGAAAAACTCCAATTCCGAGTTCTGACTATCCTTCTTCATCAGAAAGTACTAAAATCTCAGACAGTAGGGTTTAAGCGCTTCATATATTCCCCTTTGGCATCCCGCCTAAGCGTAACATGTGCCCACGTCAGCCGTACCCGTACTCTGCCGTGGGCCGGCTCGTGCAGGCTCGGTGAAGACTGAAGAGTGAAAATGGCATTTTGAGTTTGGTAAATTGCACGTTTAGTCACTGGGTCAGTGGCATTACCTTGTCGCTAAAAATATGTAATTTCATTTGTAGTTACTAAAATTACTTGAATGGTTTTAATTTGGTCACTCTTTATTACATTTCGTTAGTTTATGTTAATTTCGTTAATTTTTTGTTGATGTAACTAACAGAATCATCTAGTCACCAAATTTAACCCAAAATATAAAATATGACTTGCCACGTCAGGAAATCCGCCACATCATATATTCCAACCCAACCCATCAGTGACCCGTTCTCCAACCCCCTGCTCCTTCTCAACGACCAACCTATTCTTCTTCCCCAATCCCCCCCTCACTCTCCTTCTCATCTCTTCTTCCCCAACCTTTTCTTCGTCTCCTCCAAAATCACAGCCTCAATCCTTTTCCAGGTCACCGACGCGTGATTGCTCCGACGTAGTGAGCCCCACGACAGGAGGTGAAGCCACAAGCGACCAAAAAGGGAAAGACGAGACGTTCTCAACGACATATTACTACACCTAACCCAACCTCTAATAGATAAACCCCATGCTTCGATTGTCTAAACCCAAACTCGACATTCAATTTAATATAAAATAATAATTGACCGTTTAGATTGATCGGAGCTTATTGAAGTACATCTAACACCCAGATGCACTAGAATATACAAGTCTTTACCATAGGGGGTAAGATTGGTGTACTCCTGGAGTATACTATACTCCAAGTAGGGCTGGCTATTTGGTCCCGGACTATTTGGTTTTACCCGAAACCGGACCGTATAACCCGGACAGAACTGGGACCGGATAGCAAACAATGCAATCTCATATTCGGGCTTAGATTTGAGGTAAAAAACCGGATAAAGACCGGATAAGAGACCCCCCAACACCTAAAATCAAGATAAAATTGGGACCAGACCGGATCAAGACCGGACTGTATCCAATCCAATCTTTGGTCCTTATATTCCCGAAAAGACCGGACTGGGACCGGATCAATTTGGTCCAATTTAACCGGACCGGACCGTATAGCCACACCTAACTCCAGGTACTTCTAGTGAGATATCTCTATCTAGACCATGAATTAGGTCGAGTTTGGGGTATTATACTACAACCTAACCTCTAATGGGTAAATCATATGCCTTGATTATCTAAACCCAAACCTGAAGTTCATTTTAATAGAAACAATGATTGATTGACCGTTGAGATTGATTGGAGCTCATCGAATTACATCTAACGGCCAGATGCATTGAAATATACTATACTCCTGGAGTATACCAGTCGTTACCATATGGGTCAGACTGGTATACAGTATACTCCTGTAAGTGGCGGACCCATAAATTTTCTATAGGGGTGTCCTCTTTTAAAAAATAAATATAAAAATAAAATAGTAAATAATAAAATACATTACTCGTACAGGTTAAAAAAGTCCATGATGTGTTTTCATATTCGAAAATAATTGTAGAATACACTTGGTGTCTATAGAGTTAAAAAAATTGTCTCTATATACCCTACTAGACAACTTATCGCATATTCGATTTGTATACTTGTTCTTGATGTAAACCCAAAGCTGAAAGACTCTTTCAACACTTGTCGTACAATCATAAAATAAATAGAAATTAAGGGTATCTTGAAATTAGTTTAATTTTTAGGTTTTGAAAATAATTAGAGATAGGGAATGACATTTTACTATTACACAGTGTTCAAAATCGAACAACAAATGAGTTGTAGCTCAATGAAAATTGATTTAATTAATAATAATAGTGTTCTACATTTGAATTACCCAACCTACCACTTATATTCCTATATGCAAATTAAAAAAAAATGACAATAGGATAATCATTTTTTCAAATTTCAGGGGTGTCCATCGCTATCAATTATATTTGTTTTGTCTATACGTAAATTACCACTGAGGTTTGGATAATCGTTTTCCCAAAATTTAGGGGTGTCCTTTGGATAATCGTTTTCCCAAAATTTAGGGGTGTCCCGGGACACCCCTAAAACCCCCTGGGTCCGCCCCTGACTCCTGTAGTATACTCTAGGTACTATTGCGGTATGATATTATACCATAACCTCTAATTGAGAAATCCCAAGCCCCGATTATCTAAACCAAACCCGAAGTTCAATTTAATAGAAAAAAAATTTATCGTTGAGATTGATCCAACTCAGCAAAGTACATTTAACGACAAAAAGTGTAGAAAACAAAATTGTGAAACTATGCAACCTGGTGCTTTTGGTTTTCTATTTGAGATATCAGAGAAGGGTTGAGGAAAGAAAATGAAGAGTTGGGTCGGGTTCAATGGTTGGGTTGGGCAAGCTGACATGGCAGGTTGTGATGATGTGGCAGTCGTGTTTACCATTTTCCAGGTTAAATCAGGCTGATTAGACGATTCCGTTTGCTACATTAGCACATAATGAACTTCATTAACAAAGTTGGACGGACACTAGCGGAGAATGACCAAACATGGACCAATTTACTAATATGAGTGACCAACAGTGAAATTAAATATTTCTAGTGACTAAACATGAGACATTTTAATAAACCCAGTAGCCAAACATGCAATTTACAATATATATATATATATATATATATGACCAACTCATCAACAAAGTTTGATTAGTGCACTAAAACTAATAATTCGTTTGCTTGTTGGATTTGAAAAATGAATATTTTGGGCAATAAAAACCTTGGAATTTATGAGGGATTTATTTGATTATTGATTTGAAGAGTCTAGTGTTTGCATGATAGATTTGATGATAGATGTGTGATGGATTTGTTACATAAATAACTAACCATTTTACAAATCCCAAATCAATATGTGGGATTTAAAAGTCCGTTGGATCCACGAATTTGTTCCAAAATAAAGACCAAATCTGTGAATTCCACAGATTTAGCATCCATCAACAATTAACGGACTTGTGTTAACTGTTAAATCCATAAAGCTGTTGACACCTAATCCGTGGGATCCACGAATTTGACACCTAATACGGTGACGATAGGGTATCCAAAACCAAAGCTTTATGAATTTAACAGTTAACACAAGTCCATTAATTGTTGATGGATGCTAAATCTGTGGAATTCACAGATTTGGTCTTTATTTTGGAACCAAATTCGTGGATCCCACGGACTTTTAAATCCCACATATTGATTTGGGATTTGTAAAATGGTTAGTTATTTATGTAACAAATCCATCACACATCTATCATCAAATCTATCATGCAAACACTAGACTCTTCAAATCAATAATCAAATAAATCCCTCATAAATTCCAAGGTTTTTATTGCCCAAAATCTTCATTTTTCAAATCCAACAAGCAAACGAATCATTAGTTTTAGTGCACTAATCAAACTTTGTTGATGAGTTGGTCATATTTTTTTTTTTTTTTTTGTAAATTGCTTGTTTGGCTACTGGGTTTATTAAAATGTCTCATGTTTAGTCACTAGAAATATTTAATTCCACTGTTGGTCACTCATATTAGTAAATTGGTCCATGTTTGGTCATTCTTCGCTAGTGTCTGTCCAACTTTGTTAATGAAGTTCATTATGTGCTAATGTAGCAAACAGAATCGTCTAATCAGCCTGATTTAACCTGGAAAACAGTAAACACGACTGTCACATCATCACACGATTTCCCTTGTACCCTATCGTCACCGTATTAGGTGTCAACAACTGTTGTCTGGTAGCCAACTCGAACGGGCTCATGCTCGTGGCTTCACTTCGGTGTAAGTTGTAGGAGAATTGGGTTACATCCAATAGCTTCACCCAACCCTTCTGGTTGGCACTCACGTAATGCCTCAAGTAGACCTCCACCAAAGCAATGACCCGCTCGGTTTGCCCATCCGTTTGAGGATGAAAGCTCGTGGAGAAGTTTAGGTCGGAGCCCATCATCTTGAACAACTCCCTCCAAAACTTGCCGGTGAAACGGCCATCTCTATCGCTGACGATGCTAACCGGGATGCCCCAATACTTCACAACATGCTTGAAAACAAGCAGGCTGCATCCTCGGCCATCATGTCTTTGGGCCCTGCGATGAAGACGCCATACTTCGAAAATCGGTCGACGACGACCATGATGGAACCACACCCTTTGACTTTGGGAAGGTCGATGATGAAATCATGCTAACACTTTCCCAAGGCCGTTGTGGAGTGGGTAATGGCTCCAACAAGCCCGCCAGACTCCGCTACTCCATCTTATCTTGCTGGCAAACAAGACATGTCTTGACGTAGAGTTCCACGTTGTCCTTCATACGAGGCCAATAACAAGCCTCCTCGATGAGTGCTTGTGTGCGCTCAATGTCGGGATGACCAGCCCACTTGGAGTCGTGGCACTCCTTCATGATCTCCCTTTGTAGGTTTTCCCACCGCGGCACGAACATTCGCTCGCCCTTAGTCACGATGATTCCGCCTTTCATCCAAAGCGGCCGAGTCATCCCTTGATTGATGTACTCGACCACGGTTTTAGCGAAGGGGTCGTGCCCAAGGCCTTCTTCAATCCGTTTCTTAAAGAGGAATTGCGGCTGGCTTATGGCGGCAAGTGTGCTCTTTTGGCTAAGAGCATCGGCAACAAAGTTGGCTTTCCCCGGCTTGTACTCCAGCACAAAGTCGAATTCCACGAGGAAATCTTGACACCTTGCTTGCTTGGGCGTGAGCTTCTCATGTGTGAGGAAGTAACTCGTTGCCACATTGTCCGTCTTTATAACGAACTTCGACCCAAGCAAATAATGCATCCACGTTCTCAAACAATGGAACATCGTCGTCATCTCTTTCTCTTGCACTGCATGTCTCCTCTCGGCCTCATTGAGCTTGCGGCTCTCAAATGCAATTGGGTGTCCCTCTTCCATCAACACTCCACCTATTGCAAAATCGGAAGCATCCGTTTGCACTTCATACGCCTTAGTTGGATCGGGAAGTGCTAGCACTGGCTCCTTCGTCGCCGCATCCTTCAAGGCTTCAAATGCTTTGCGGCACCGATCTAATCATTCCCAAGCCTTGTTCTTCTTTAGAAGATCCGCCAAGGGTGCTGCAAGAGCGGAGTATCCCTTGATGAATCTCCTATAATAGTTGGCCAGGCTGAGGAATGATCGTAACTCGGTGACCCTCGTTGGTGGCTCCCATCCTTGTATCACCTCCACCTTGGCTTCGTCCATCTTTAGCTTGCCTTCGCCAATGATGTGGCCGAGGAAAGGAACCTCCGCGGCTGCAAACGTGCACTTCTCCTTCTTGACGTAGAGCTCGTTGTCTCGAAGGACTTGGAACACTTGCCGTAAGTACTCGGCATGTTCATCGAGTGTGTTGCTGACTTGATGTACACCACGATGTCATCCAAATACACCACCACGAAGCGATCCAAGAACGTCTCGAGTACTTGGTTCATCAAGGTGCAAAAAGTTGCAGGAGCGTTGGGGTTAGACCAAAAGGCATAACTAAGAACTCATATGAGCCATACCTCGTCACGCATGCCGTCTTCGCCTCGTCCCCCTCGGCTATCCTCACTTGATAGTACCCCGAGCGAAGATCAAGCTTCGTGAACCACTTTGCTTCTCCGAGTTGATCAAACAAGTCGCCAATATTGGGGATTGACCACTTGTTCTTCACCGTGAGCTTGTTAATAGCTCGATAATCGATGCACATCCGCAACGAACCATCTTTCTTCTTCTGGAACAACACGGGTGCTCCATAGGGGGATTTCGACGATTGGATGAAGCCAGCATCCATCAACTCCTTGAGTTGCTTCCTCAATTCCTCCAACTCGAGAGGGGCCATGCGATAAGGTGCTCTTGTTGGTGGTGTCGCCCCTTGCTCAAGCTCGATCTTGTGATCGACTTTTCTTCTTGAGAGGTGTTGGCGCCACCGAGCCTCCTTCTTCCTTCGCTCGCAAAGTGACAAAAACGTGGGTTCCATCCTCTTCATTCCCTTCACCAATTTCATGGCCGATAAAGCTCTCTTCGACCCTTCTTCGCGCAACATCTTCACCGTGCAAAACTTATCTCCCTTGTCAAGGCAGAGAGTGTTGGAATTCATTGCCATCACCGCGCCCTCCTTCTCCATGAATTTGACGCCAAGAATGACCGGATGATCATCCATAGTGATGACGTTGAAGTCAGCAACACCTTCCCAATCTTCGATCTGCAATGGCACGTTCTTAGCAACACCATGGATGGGTATTGCCTCGGAGTTGAAGGTCTTAAGCGATCCTTGCCTCTTCTCGTAAGCGATCCCCAAGCACTCCGCCTCCTCCACTCGAAGGAAGTTGTCGGTCGCACCAGTGTCAACTAATGCTTTTGACTCGCCTCCCTCGAATTGGGTGATCACAAAGAATCTCCCCTTGCTAACTTCGTTGGAGCTGGATTTCGCCGCGCCTAGCCTCCGCATGGAGCCTATCTTCCCTTCATCTTACCTAGCATTTTCCTTGGTCTCTCCTTCTTGTTTCTCCAAGGCTGCTAGTTTGCTCTTCTTTGGGCAGTCCCGCACCTTATGTGGAACGTTTGCAAAGGAAACAAGACATGGGTTTATCATGGTTACCAGATCTTGCTCCCTTTCTCGAGCCTCCATGTTGGTACGAGCCTTTCCCTTCTTTGGAGTGCTGTCGATGATCTCCTCCTCCTTTGCTCTTCGAGTTCTTCGACTCGTTCGGCCTCTCACTCTTTTTGTACTCCGTGAGAGCCTCTGCCGTTGCCAAAGCAGTAGCAAGATCTTGCACTCCACGCCTGCAATCCGAAAAAGGAAGCCAAACAAAGCCTCCTTGTCCGGCAGATCGGGGATCTCGAGTAGCAATTCCGAAAACTCCTTGACATAGTCACGAATTCCGCCGGTGTGTGTGAGTCGTCGAAACTTTGCACGAGCTTCCATTTTCACATTTTTTGGGTAGAACTGCCTCTTTGATTTCCCTACGGAAATCCTCCCATGTGTCAATCACACATGTGCCTCTTTCTATATCACCTTGCCTTCTCCTCCACCAAACCATGGCCATGTCGACCAAGTAAAGGGAGGCGGTGCGCACCATGACTTCATTATCATTGATGCCCGAAGCCTTGAAATACTGCTCAAGTCTCCAGAGGAAGTTCTCTAATTCCCTCGCATTCCTTGACCCACCGAAGTTCTTCGACCTTGGAACATCTACTCGTGGTGTAGATTGAGTCGCGGCAGGTCCGTTAGCCACGACTCGTTTGACGAGATTGAGCTCTCCTTGAAGCTCATCAAATTCTTCCCTCACTTTGTCTACCTAGCCTCGAACGGTCTCCTTCAAGGAGTCGATGGCGTTGGTGATGATGGTCACAAACTCGTCTCTGAAAGCTTCTAGCCCCACCTCCAAGCCTGCCATTCGATTGCCCATGCCTTGCATGTCGTCCTTCGAAGTCTGCACCTCTGTGCTGACTTGATCGAATTTCAACTCCATGTCCTCGAACATGGTTGTATGCTTGGCAATCTTCGTCTCCGCTCTTTTGAGCCTCTCCTCGATTGCCACCAAAGGCTCTCGAGTTGATCTATCACGATGTTTCTTGCTGTTTGGATCCTTCTTTTCCTCACGATCGCGTTGTTGCTCACTGTTGAGAACTTCGCTTTCGTATCCAGCCATCTCTTCGAGGTTCTTTCTCACTTGCTGAGCTACGACCTTGGCTCTGATACGACTTGTCATGGACCAACTCTTGGCCGTGCGACACTTAGCACTCAAGTCTCGTTATTAGAGCGCTAAGTCAGCCTTGCTCGTATTCACTCAAACTCACAAGTATGGACTATGGAGAAAATCTCTAGAGATGGAAACTCTCAATTTCTGGATGAATAACAAATGAGGGAGAGGGATGCTTGTATAGGCATCCCCTCCACTAAGTACAATGTATATGGCCGTCATAAATGAACGAACCTAGAAGTCCCCCCATACATGAATGTAATTAATAAGGTGCATGAATAAAGATAGATAAGGGGGATGCATGTACATTGGTGCATGAATCGGAAGATGCATGCATGTACTTGCATCCTTCTAGAATGCTCAAGAATCTTCCGTGTAACAGTACCCAGCGGGTTGGGTTGGGTTTGAGTTTTTCAAACCCAATGGGTTTTACCCCGGGTGTTTTTTTTCACGGATAAACCCATGGGTTTGGACTTGGGTTTGGCAAAACCCGACCCAACCCGACCCATTGCCATCCCTACTGGCCATTAGTCTCTGTTAACTTTTGTTGAGGTGGCAGTCGATTCTCATAGTTGACCGTTAAATAGGTGACGTGGCAATTAAAAAATAAATAAAAATAAAAATTTAATCTATTAAAAATTTCACGTCATTATCATAAAAAAATAAATAAACATAAAATTATAATATCAAAATGGAAATGAAAATGAAAATTTTCTCCCCAATCCCACTGTCGTCTACCTGATGTGTGCCTTTGCCGGCGATCTCCAATAGCAATAACCACTGCCCTTTCCCCGGACCACCTGAAAGTGTCGATGGCTTCATCCTTAGCGCTGATCTCCACATAGACTTTGGCCTATGTCAGAATCTGACGGTTGCTGCTGCTACGACGACGACGATAATAATCAGTGGTGGCTCGATCAACGTACACAGGCTGTCCCAGGCAGCTAGCGATGTAAATCAGCCCTTTAGGGTTAACATACTCCTCCGGAATTGTTCCTTAAAGCAACCGGCCAACGGGAAACAGGCGTCGACTGGTGAAATGAGGTAAAAGATGGGGAATAGAACTCTGTCGCCGCCGCCGCCAATGCAGCAGCAACATCAGTGCACGATCTCGAACGCCTCATCGGTGCATCAGTGCTACTGCTGGAGCTGGAGGCGTTGTTTGCGTAGCCATTGGTGTTGCATAGGGTAGGGAGAGGATTAATAAATTGAGCCCATCGTCTTCCAATTCTTCCAAGGAGCATACATGAACGGCGCAGCGGCAACTTTGAGCATGGATAAGAAGAAGGACAAATGCAATAGACAGAAGTTGTGATTTCCATAAATTCGGCAGGCGGGGACGATTGAGCATGTAGGCGAGGCTTCTTCTCAACAATCGGAGGAAGCGATGCGAGATCGTGCACCGATGATGCTGCTGCGTTGGCGGCGGCAGCAAAGTTCTCGTCCCCATCTTTTACCTCATTTCTCCGGCCGACGTCTGTTGCCCGTTGGCCGGTTGCTTTAAGGAACAATTCCGGAGGAGTATATGAACCCCAAAGGGCTGATTTACATCGCCAACTACTTGGGACAACCTGTGTACGTCGATCGAGCCACGCTGATTATTATCATCGTCGTCATAGCAGCTGCAACCGTCAGATTCTGCTATACGCCAAAGTCTGCGTGGAGATGCGCTAAGGATGAAGCCATCCACACTTTCAGGCGGTCCGGGGAAAGTGCAGTGGTTATTGCTATTGGGGATCGCCGGCAAAGGCACACATCAGGGAGACGACGGTGGGATTGGGGACAAAATTTTCATTTTCATTTCCATTTTGATAATTATAATTTTATGTTTATTTATTTTTATTTTTATGATAATGACGTGAAATTTTTAATAGATTAAATTTTTATTTTTATTTATTTTTTAATTGCCACATAACCTATTTAACGATCAACTATGAGAGTTGAGTGCCACCTTAGCAAAAGTTAACGAGTTGAGTGCCACCTTAGCAAAAGTTAACGGAAACTAACGGCCAATGACCAAACTTGGACTGTTTAACTAATTTGAGTGACTACAGATGGATAAATGAATCTTAACGGCAAACGTGAACTTTTATAGCAATTCAAGTGACCAAACTTGCAATTTACGCTTGATAAAAGAAAAATGGAATCTATCTACGATGGGGTTTACCCAAGCCTACAAAGTACAAAACCCTTTTGTTTGGGTACCATTGCTCATGGGCCGTGGGATCTTCAGAGGCCCAAAACAAAGAGAAGAGTTAGAAAACCGAACGCCGAGTGCGGCGGCCGGCTGTCGGCGAAGTTCAGTGAAAGTAGAGCTTGGGAAGGCAGCCGCAGCAATGGAGGCTCAACCCACCAACGGCAGGGAGAAGAAAGTCAAACGGAAAGAGGTATAATCTCATGAACCAGAAGCAATTTGACGATTCCGCTTTTTCCTTCTTAATTTCTGCAGTCGTCCGGTTTTTTCCGTCTTTCTCTTTTGCGTCGTAGGTTCGGGAAAGGAAGAAGAAAATCGATAATTTGATACAAGCAACTTCTTCCGAGCCGACCATCTCTCTTATTTCCCTCCCTTCCGACGTTTCGACAGAAATGGTAATGGTTCGCCACCAATTCCGCTCAGTATTCGCCTCCCATTGATTACTGAAGGACTTCGACATTTTTCCCCCCGCAGGATTGTGTGTTTTCTTGCAGTCTGGAAATGGAGATAAACTCTCCGCGTCTCTAAAGCAATACATTCAGAATCTCCTCAAAGTAGAGTTTTGTCCTATTCCTTTGATAGAATGATTGCCTTTCTGAGTTTTGCGTTCTATATGCTAAATTATTTCTTTCTTTTATGAGTTTGAAAAGGTGAACATGGAGGATCCATTTGGGGAAGAATGGCCAGAGGAAGAGAAAGTTAAGCGCAGAGAAATGGTGTCTCTAGAAGCACGTTACATCTTCGTTAAGGAGGGATCCCTTGATAATGATAGTGGTAAAGCTGCTGTCTTTGTAGGATTTGTTCACTTCAGGTTTACTCTGGAGGATGATATACCTGTTCTTTATGTTTACGAGATTCAGCTACAGTCTCGTTCGTGTCCAAGGCAAAGGCTTGGGCAAGTTCTTAATGCAACTCGCTCATTGCTCGTAAGGTGAATGTTTTCTCGTATGTTCTGGTTTTGGGTTGATTATGCTGTGTATGTGGAGATTTGAATCTTGAAATGGTTTTCCTTCTGTTCTTCTGTAGAGTTGTATGAGTGCTGTAGTGTTAACCGTTCAGAAAGCTAATGTTGCGGCTATGAACTTCTATACGAGAAAGTTGAGGTGAAACTTTCATTTGAAATTCCCCTTTCTTCACTGAATCAGAAGTTGAGGAGAACAATCTTGTGTTTCTTTAGTGAATTAAATTATTCCAGGTTTTTACTTGCAGGTACACTATATCAAGCATTTCGCCATCACGAGTAGATCTGTATTCCTTGGTACGAACCTGAAGTCGTTCCCTAATATGTGACTCTCGGATTCTCAAAAGGATATATCTTCACCTGTGCATTGTTGTGCAGATGGGAGCTAAAAAGAGTTACGAGATTCTCTGCAAAGCATTTGATCATGAAGCCAAAGTTGCATTGGAGGTAACAACTTGTTACTGCTTCATTATCTACTTGCCTGCCTTCAAATCTCAACTTACCCTTTTGGTTCTTCCCTCCTCTTAGGCGACTGTTTGAGCTGGAAGAAAGATGGATCGAGCCTTCAAGCCCAATTCCCAAGTGATTCTAAAAGGTCCCCATTGAGATTTAAGATTTTTCACTCGCCACTCGAACAAAGTACAAACCAGACCTCAACCATCTCTTCATTGCCCATATCAATGACGAGTCAATGTAAAACCAATGAATTGGTGGAGGAGCCTGAATCTGGTGAGAACCCTTGACTAAGCAAGCTACATAATATATGGTCACCTAAGAAAGAACAACTTTGAGGATGTAGGCAGCAGTTAAGCCATTGAATCAGTACTGGGATGTAGGCAAGGATCATGTTGTTACATTGTACTGCTGTCATGCTTAGTCAATTCACCTAATGCTTCAGCTTGCTCAAACTCTTTACCATTTTGTGTTCTTTTGTGTAGTTGGAGGACTGTTGTAGCGTTAACACTTGGTTTTCAGCCCATTTGTTCATTGTTCTGTAGATGGGTACTGAGAAGAGTAACGAGGTTCTTTGCAAAGCATTTGATCATGATGCCAATGCTGCCCTCAGACTTTGTTTAGAATAACAAGCTAGAGCAGAATGTACAAATCTTTGGAAAGAGAAACAGCCAATCTTTTTCACTCCCTGGTAAACTCTGCTGTATTTTTCATACATTCTGAGAATGATTCATTGTTCTGGTGTGGATTGGATGTATCACGACTTTGTGCCTTGCCTACTACACTGTTAAAAACTCGCTTTAAAGAATAAGCTTCCATGTGGAACCATTGGTTAAGTAATCAAAAGAAAACTGGAATTCATACAACAACATATCAGATGTACATTGAATCAAACTCTTTCCCATTTAAAGGAATATTGTCACCTTCTGATTGCCAAATTATACCACCAGACTCTGTTTCTTTTTTTTTTTGTACCAGCATGCAAAAGTCTGAAAGAGGAAGAGTCTACTGTGTTGGAAAATCAATGGTTGACTGTTCCCCCATACTTTTGGCTATGAGACGGAAGAATTCTCATTCGGTGGGATGTTTATATCAAGGGTTTATTGATGATGACTTACCAAATGGTATTTAATTTAATTTGTTGTATTAGTTACTATGCTTTTTCATATATGGGATCAATTAGATGGGTGAAATGCCCAACTTAAAAATTGGCCATTGAAGTTTGCAACAAAGCAGTCATTTAAGAGAAGGGATGAACAGAAATGATAAATTGATAAATGGGTAGGAATATATTGAGCAATGGCCTTTCTGGCCATTAAATACTTAGATAGAAACCAGTCTGTAACATGTGGCATCAAAGAATCAACATATGTCTAGATTTCTCTTCGTTCCCCAACTCCCAAACTTACTCTGCAACATATGAATCCTTCATCCTTCTGGTCTTGTCCTTTTCACTACTTGAACAAATGTCCCAATCACAACTTGTTTTGGATATAAACGCAAATGGGAAATTTCCCCATGAGATGAATATTCTGAAATATCAGAAATGGGGGTTTCCAGACTATTGAAGGGCAAGCAGAAAGATGCTTCCTTCCTAAATCTAAACACTTTCGACAGTACTAGTTTGGTGTTTGTCCTTTCACTTGCTGAGCTGCTCCATTATTTATGTTCTTTTATTTATTTATGTTCCATTCCTATATAAAAACCAATCCTACCGGCAGAAATGGAGGTAATCAGCCACACAACAAACCAAATGGCTGAAAAGCTATCAACTTTAGAATCCTTAGTCCTGCTACCCATCAAAACCATCTTCACCATAACATGCTGCTGCAAACTCAATCTCTGTAGAAGAGCAAGCAACTTTCAGTACTCGGATTTCTCAAAACTCCCTTCCTCACCAAGCAACCAAGACTCGGTTCTGATGTTCAACATGGAAGGAGAACTGCTAAAGTCACCTTCAATCTTCCCTTACTTCATGTTGGTAGCTTTCGAAGCCGGGAATCCGTTGAGGGCACTCATCCTTCTCCTTCTGTACCCTCTAATTTGTTTAGTAGGGCCAGAGATGGGACTCAAAATCATGGTCTTTGTCAGTTTTGTGGGTCTTAAAGCAGGGAGCTTTCGAGTTGGAAGAAGCATGTTGCCCAAGTTCTTCCTAAAGGATGTTGGTCTCCAAGGGTTTGAGATGGTGATGAGGTATGAGAGAAAAGTTGGGTTTACTAATTTGCCTAGGATCATGGTGGAAGGCTTCATGAAGCATTACTTGGGGATCGAAATGGTTGTTGGCAGAGAGATGGTGGTCTTTCATGGCTACTTTTCTGGTCTAATGGAAGAAAGGAGACCATGTAAGCCGAGTTTAAGCAGTGATATCATTGGGTTTGTGTTAGAAACAAAGTTTCTAACGGGTTTCTAGATCAGATCTAGAGATTGGGAATTTAGGGTTTATAGAATAGAATTGGGGATTTAGGGATTTGAGGAGAATTTGGGGAAGAATAGAAGAGAATCGGCCTAAGCCTTTAGAGGGATTGAGGTCAAGAATTGAGAGGATTGGGATAGGAATTTAGGGAGATAATTCTTTATTAACTTCTGCTTAATATGACGAATGACCCAAAGTACATATATATAGGGAAATACTAGAAAACCCTAAGAATAAACCTAATTCTACTAGAAGACTACTAACCATAATAAGAATTACCCTAATAATGATTATAATAATAAATATAGAAACCGGATATAATTCGGTTTCTAACATCTCCTCCCCCTTCAGACCAACCTTGCCCTCAAGGTTGATCAACTCGACCCACTCTTCTCTTTCTTCTCGCACAATCCGCGGTTGACTCCTCCATTTCTTAAGCTTCCTTTTCTTCCAATTGTGCTCCACTACTTGAATGAAGCCGACTCCAGCAACTCTGTCTTCCATGGCTTCTTATCTACCCGCATGGCTCATTTCACAACCATGGCCAAATGACTCACCAACCTCTTTTTCAAACTCTACAAAGTAAGAATCAGAGAGTTGTTCTTCCTTGAGTCCATCTTCACAATCCACCTTAAAATATTTAACAGATGGCTCCATTGTTTTTGCCACGTGCTCGATGATGAAGACTAGTCCTTCCATGTTCCACTCTTCTCCCTGTGACTTTGGGTTAGGCTCTCTTGAAAGCCCACCTTCAGTTTCAGCAAGCCCACTTCCTTCTTTCTTTGATTTCTTTCCCTGCAAAAGAGGTCCAAATAAACAGCCTATGCGAGACCCATAATAACCTTCTTGCGTGGCCCAGTTATTCCGTTCCTTCTTAGTTGCTGCTAGCCCACTGTTCATCTCACACTCCTCAGCATATGAGCCCGCTGATCTCGGCCCAACCCAACACAAGAGAACTCTGGTAAGATTGCTCCTATGCAGTCCAAGTATTGGGCTATCCGGAGTCCAACTCGGCCCCATCCTTATCCCGTTCTGCCGATCCAAAATAAGCCCATCAAAGCCTCTTTCGCCTCTTGCTGGCCCAATTCGCTGCTGCTGTGGTGCTCGGCCCAAGGCCACCGTCCTAGGGTTTGCAAGCAGAGGAACCCAATCGCCATCTTCCTTCTTCGCCTTCATCTTTCTCGTCGCGCCGCCCGCCGCTAACGTTTCCACCCGGCGGCTGCGAGTCGTGCTGAAATCCGACGCCATTCTCAGCTCCGGCTTCTTCACCACGTTCGTCGCTGCCCCGAGAGACCCCGTCCGCTGCTCCAACATCATCGGCATCGGATTCAGCTTCTTCTCCACGCTCGACGTCGCCGCGAGAGGAGCCGTCCGCCGCTTCCCTTTCTTCGTCCCAGGCAGCTCCCTCATCGGCGGCTCCTTCTCCGCCGTCTTTTCTGGCGGCCACGATCCGGCGGACCCAATCTTCGTCGTCTTCCTCAACGCTTTGTTTCCCGGCGGAAACTCCTCCTTCTCGACCACCGACTCCGGCGAGACAACTCGGGCACTCAACGCCGTCTCCGTTTTCCCATCGGTCACTTGCTTATCCGTCGGAGCACGTGTCGTCTAGTTCCGCGGTGAGCAGTTCGCCAGGCGGTGGGGAGTAGGCATCGAAAGCCCGCTGCTCTTCCCCTTCTCAACACTCTCCATAATCGGCGGCGAATTGAACACCAAGGGAGCGCTCGGCGACTTTGGAGCAGCCACGTCCTTCTCCTTCTCCGACGGAGTTTCATCCCTTAGCAGTTTCCGTCTTTGTTTCTTCTTTTTCTTCCTGAATTTCCAGCCCTCGATTGGAATTGTCCAGGGGATTGCGATGGCTCCAGATTTTACCTCTTCCAATTCTAGATTCGATGCAGCAGTCAAGGCTGCTAGGGACTGCTCGCCCACCATCGCCTCGAAGGAAGATGCCGAGGTTTGCTCAGTCTCCTCCGCTATTTTCTTCTTCGATGGTGCCTCCCTCTCCATCGGTTCGAGTGGCGTCGAGCACTTTCCCTGGTGGTTGGTGGCTGGCACAAGCTCAATTGGAGGTTCCGTCTTGGCTTCATAACTCGGCTGGTCGGTGGTGGCTGAAAGTAGTGAATCCTCCGACGAAGCCTCTGGCTGGTTGCAGGTCGCGCGGCGTCGGGCCGCACGGCGCTCGAGTTTGACTCGAAGTTCTGCTAGGCTTGCCATCATCTTGTTGTAGTGTGCTTCCCTGTTAGCTTCATATGTTATCAGACTGGCTTTGAGAGCTTCAAACGCGTGATAGAGTTTCTGGTAATTCTGTGGTGAGAGTTGTGATGAACTCAAATCTATAACCAGGCTCTGATACCAAATGTTAGAAACAAAGTTTCTAACGGGTTTCTAGATCAGATCTAGAGATTGGGAATTTAGGGTTTATAGAATAGAATTGGGGATTTAGGGATTTGAGGAGAATTTGGGGAAGAATAGAAGAGAATCAGCCTAAGCCTTTAGAGGGATTAAGGTCAAGAATTGAGAGGATTGGGATAGGAATTTAGGGTGATAATTCTTTATTAACTTCTGCTTAATATGATGAATGACCCAAAGTACATATATATAGGGAAATACTAGAAAACCCTAAGAATAAACCTAATTCTACTAGAAGACTACTAACCATAATAAGAATTACCCTAATAATGATTATAATAATAAATATAGAAACCCGATATAATTCGGTTTCTAACAGTTTGATTGCTTCAACAATTCCCTTGGCCAAAACTTCCCATCTCCCTTCAAGGTTAGGTGATTGATTTCCCTGTTCATTTCTTCTGGTTCAAATCCTGATTTGTATGTTATAATTTTACCATGTTCGTATTCTAAAGAGACATACTTCTCTAATGGTAGTTTTACTATTACTATTATGATTTTCAAGTTCTTACCGTAGTCATTTGACCATATTGCTTTTCTTGTATATTAGAAACTTCACTTTATCACAGAGGAAGAGAAGAGAACTTGGCAACCACTTTCAAGAGCCAAGTACCCAAAACCACTGATCTTCCATGATGGAAGATTAGCATTCAGGCCAAATCCATTAGCATCCCTAACAATGTTCATCTGGCTTCCATTCGGCTTCCTCCTTTTCGTCACCAGAAGCCTTATTGGAACCTTCCTCCCTTACCAAATCTCAATCCCTCTCCTCCAAGCCACAAGGATGCACGGCTTCTGTTCCAAGCCACGATCTTTCCGGTCTGACAAGTCACAAGGAACCCTCTATGTCTGCAACCACAGAACCTTATTCGACCCATGTTACATCTCGACGTGCACAAACAATCCCTTAACAGCAGTCACATACAGCTTGAGCAAGTTCTCTGAGTGGATAGCGCCAATCAAGACCATCCGAATCACGAGGAACAAAAACAAAGATATGAAGCTGATACAAGAACTTCTGACAAAAACTGACCTTGCCATATGTCCTGAAGGTACAACTTGCAGGGAACCTTACCTGCTGAGGTTTAGTCCTATGTTTGCCGAGGTGGCGAAGGACATTGTTCCTGTGGCTATTGATATGAAGTGCAACATGTTCTATGGAACGACGGCTGGTGGGTGGAAAGGGTTGGACCCCGTGTTTCAGTTGATGAATCCCTCTGTTTGGTGTGAACTTAGGGTTCTTGAGAAGGTGCCTGAATGTATGGTTTGTGAAGGTGGAGTAGACAAGTCTAGGGTTGAGGTTGCCAACTCTGTGCAGGTTGAGATTGGTAAAGCTTTGAACTTCGAGTGCACTAGCTTGACCAGGAAGGATAAGTACTTGTTCTTAGCAAATAATGAAGGGTTTGTGACAAGCTGAAATCTTACTACTATAGCTTGAATATATTTTTCTTCTTGTCTTTTGTTTCAAAGTAAACTTTGTATAACTGTGTGCTTTGTTTTGACCTTTCTATACTATTTACGACATACATCTTGTTTACAGTTTATTTAGCTTTGTCCCAACCTATTTGGGTGGGTATTATCCATTGTGCAATAGTACGGGGCGGGGCATGAGTATTGCTTTCGACCTGTCCCGTCTCGTTCTTGAACCGCTCAATCATGATTTGCATCTACATCTATATGTATTTCTTCTCATTTGAACTTTCTAAAAATCATATTTTTCATCCTAAGTAAATTTTAAAACTCTATCTTTCAACTATTTAGACTCAATTAGATCTTTTACTATATTTCTCAATTGTTTTTTATGTGTTTTTGTGACATAGTAAAATATGGACGTTCATTTTTCAAAAAATATATAAGGATGGGTCATTCCATGTCCACCCCCGTCATGTATCCGTGCGAGTATTATCATACCTCGTTCTATTGACATAGCTAATTGAGGATTCTAAAGAAGCAATATATTTTTTATTTTATTATTATCATGATATACAAGTTTTGAACTCATCTATAGATTGTTTTCTTGGTCGGACCACCAATACAGTTCGATTTTATAAACAACGATTTTGTTAATAATTTAAAATCACAAATTTCATAGATGATTATTTTGGTAACCGGTATTTAATCAAGAGGTGGGTTTACACAAAATATAATTAGGCCCAACGCCCGAGTACCATAATCTGAGCCCAGACCAGATAAATAATTAGAAGCTGAAGCTCAATTATAGACGAGCCCGTGTTGATCATTAGCTCATTAGCCATTCAGTACTCAAAAACCCCTCCCAAACCCATAACCCCCAGTTCTCCTGGATTCAGCCATTGCTGTCGTCTTGTTCATCCAAGAGGAATTGCGGGAGAGAGTTCGGAAAATGGCTCTGTTGCGAGCAATATTGCAGACAAGAACTCTGCAAGCGAATCCGGCACCTGGGTTCTCCAGATTCTACTCTCAGTCCTCCCCTTATCTCGGTAACCTCAATTCATACTCGTTCTTCTGATTCTTCCTCCGTTTCCCCCATTCCAAATCGAATCTCCCACCTGAATTTTATATCGCTTTCTGTTTTGGTTTCTTCTGGGATGAACAGCATAGATCATTTCTGATTTTTTTTTGTAATTGATGGGTGTTTTCTCGACCATTGGTAATTGGTGTGGAAAAACTTATAGTGGGTTTGAATTGGTTTGTGTTAGAATGGCTTGCTTCGCGATAAAGCTGAGAACTTTGCTAGCTCCGGAGCTTTACGTTTCACAGAACGAAAAGTGATGGTTCGTTGTTATTAATTTCTGTTGCAGTGAAAGTGGGGATTCCGGAGTTCTTGAATGGAATAGGGAAAGGTGTTGAGAACCATGCGGCCAAGCTTGAAAATGAGATCGGAGACTTTCAGAAACTCCTCGTTACTAGGACATTGAAGCTTAAGAAGCTTGGAATCCCTTGTCAACATGTAAGCAATAGTGTACACTCACTGTCTTGAAATCTCACACTTGCTTTCCTTTTAATCAATTTTGCATACGAATTCAAAAATGAGATTAATACTGTTTGAGCGAGCTGGTCTTACGTTTTGGTAAGTGTTGGGTGAACTTGAATTCAAGGACTTTGCCTTAGATTTCCTGTTTCGATTAGGAAAGTTCTCGAACTTTAGGTTCCTGTCTAGAGCATTTGGGCGTCTCTGTTTCCAGATGATCTATTGATTGGTTATGGTGTTTGGGTGATTGGGTGTTTCTATACGCAGATGAACTATTGATTGGTTACAATGTTTCTTCTGCAGAGGAAGCTGATATTGAACTTCGCCCAAAAGTATAGGCTCGGACTCTGGCGACCCAGAGCAGAACCTATGAAAGCGAAATGAACCTCTGAAGCACGATATCTCGAGCAGTAGCAACGTTTGCTTGTTCGTTGTTGGCTGACCGAAGAGAGATCTTAGTATATTGATCTGTATGAGCTGTCAGATTTCTCAGTTATTGTCCTACCTCATGGTTTGTATTACTTGGCAATGTAGTGAAGGATGCAGAACTGAAGTGTGGCAAAACATTGTTATTACACATGAGAGAAAGATCACTTGACAAAAACATTCCATAGTTTATATGATCTTTCTTAAGCACCTGCATTTCTTCTGTTTTATAGCTTGTTATATGGATGTACCGTTATCAATTGAACTTGCAATTATCACACTATTTCATTCGAGTGATGTTTCGAGATGGGATCACAAAAGTCATGCTCTGAGTATTAATTTGTTTGATGTCGGGTTCAACTGTTAAAAGCAATCACCAATCAGTCGGTACAATGACATGTACAACGGGAACATTAGTTTGCTTGGGAGGCAGTCTAAGTGTTTCTCTCTAAGTTGTCGCTTGCTTGCGAGACAAGCCGTCCAAGACTGGGCCTTTTTCCACTCCAATAAGCTCCAATTGTAACTCTGAAAGTTCACTCCATACTGCAGGTAAGGCTGCTGAGGAAGATCGAGCCACATGTATCCTTGTGAAATCCGATGAGCCAGTTTCGGTAAAAAAAAATAATTGTGCTTGGACAGGCCTGGAAATGAAGTTCTTATCTGGAGCGTAGGCCTGTAACAGAAACCCTTAAGATCATCAGCAGGAGGCTTTGAAACATTTGATAACATAAGCTCTAACGGATAAAGTGTGCAAGCAATGAGCAAGAATTAGCTATCCCATTGAAAGAATGACATCACAGCAGAAGTGAACAAGATGATCTTTATTCTTTGTGAAAATAGAGGAAAGGGCTCCTACGTGGGACATGATTGCTTCAAAATCCTAATCCAACGAGGATTCTGGCAAATGTCAGGAAACGCAAGTGCATGACAATCATAACAAAGATATGAACTTCACTAATAAACTTCTACACTTCTAATCACACACCGTATGACAAACAAACTGAACAAGAGAGAAGAAGTAAAGGATCAACAAGGGGATATTTAACATTGTTTGCATCCAAATCCTAATCAAACAAGGATTCAAAATCTACACAAGGCAATCAAGTGCATTAACCAATCACACCAAGAAACAACAAAGGAGCACACAACAAAAAAGATCTCATCATATTTTTGTTACCTTGGAAGATAACTATGACGAAGAAGCCAACGGTGACCGTCATAGCAAGAATGTTCGCACCCAATGAAGAAGACGACGAGGACCGAGGCTTTTTATCATCCACCCTCTTGCTCCTGAGCGACCTCATATGCTCAATCCTCGCATGCTTGACCTTCGACGACACAGAGATCTCCCTAACGTACTTCATACCCTCAGCATCCAATGCTGGTCCCCTTGGTGGCCTAGGTGGTTTAGGAGGCTTCTTGGATCCCTTCCCCATACCAAGCCTGCTGCTACTACTACTCTTCTCCTTGTCATTGTTCTCATCCCCACCATCACTCTCGATCGAATTAAGCCCTAACCGGTTCCCCAACGAACCACTCCTCAACCTATCCAGCTTCCTCTTGGAATGCCTCTTGTTGCCTCCATAACCTCTGAATTCATCATCATCGGTAAGAATCCCTCCGCCACTTTCCAAATCAAGCATGCTGTTGCTCCTTGGCATGCCTTTATTATCCGAATCTGCCTTGTTCATTCTAATAACCCGATGTAGTACCACAATTGCTTCATTTTGATGTATGCAATCCAATTGAGGGAAAAAGCTTCAAGCAACAAATTCAATACACTCGGCGAGACCCAACAAAGACGCGATCTTTACATAAACCCGAAATCCAGCATCGAGAGAGGAAATGCCAAAATGAATGGGGAATGGTTTTTCCTGAATCAAATTTGCGGGCCCATTATCTCCTCTTCCTCCCTGTAAGAATCCCCCAACACACAAATTAAGAAGGCAAGATGATAAAGCTGCATTGAAACAAACAATAACCGATGAAATTGGAGCTTTCCGCATAACAATGAAGAAACCCAGGATCTAAATTACTGCAGAAATGACGAAGGAAGGAAGCAAGCAAGAAGAGAGAAGATGTTACCCGTGGTTTAGAAGGAGGGGAGCGGGGGGAGATTGAGGTGGAACTCTTGGATTCGAGATCTGGGAGTAAGGTACGTAAAAAAGACCGAGGGTGGACGACAAAATCTAACAGCCTACGACGAGAATGGAGAGCTGAAAATCGTTGGACGACGGTTGCCATTGTTTGTCCCCTTTCTGTCGGAAAAAAGAACAGTATGCTAAAACAGGAAAGACGGTGGGGGGAAAAAGAAATGACGGGGAAGGTCCCGAAGAAGGGGTTTTTGGGCTTCCGACATCAAATAAAACTGTTGGGCTTCGATGTGAGATTAGGGGCCTAACACTTCTAAGTCCACAAAAATTTTGGGCTTGCTTTTTAGCTTAACTAAACCAAGTTAAAATGAATAAAAGACATTGGATTGGATCTCCCTTTGCGCACGCTCATGCATGGGACAATCGCACGTACGTATTAACGAGAAATCACGTCCTTATCTGTAGAGGGGTAACCACTAGCTAACGATGGAGTTGATATTCGTGGTTATTGAACTTTGAAATAGGACCCAATTTACTGAATGGTTAAATCTCGCTCTAGTTTTATTATTGTCGCCCTTACTTAAATCGTGAGATTACTAAATTATTCTTCATCATTCAAATCAAATTTAATAAAATAAAGAATCTTTAATAACTATAATCTTCCTTTTTCTCCAAATAATCCCCGCCGATCACCACCACCCATCGACCACTGGCGTCGGTCGGTCAACCGGCGGTGCCCGCCGAAGAACACCATCTCGCACTTGCGATGGGAATTTTCACCGCCGATCAGATCACCACCACCCAGCGACCACTGTCGTCGGTCCAACAATCGGTTGAGCTGAGTTGAAAAAATTTGCTCATTGTTGATTGAAGTGAGTCGAGATGATAATTTATTGACTAATAAATCCCCAACGAAGATTCAATGGTTCGGTATCTCATGAATGAAGCGTTTTGTCTTCTTGTGGAACTGGGCCCAAACCTAGCAAACGCTTCCAAAAACCAATTGGGCCACCCCGTAGAATTATGTTGGGCCCTCCCTGGCATTCGCATATGCTGTTTCCCTGTTTGCTTTCCCCCTGTGTGGTGTGTAACTGTGTATTCTATTTTATTCTCTTCCTCTCTCTCTTTTCTTTTGTCCTTTCTTCAATTCCACCAAAGACTTGGGTTTGGTTGTCAAAGCATTCAAACCAATTTAGGGCTGCAAACGAGCCGAGTCGAGTCGAGTTTTTGCTTAGCTTGAGCTCGGCTCGTTTATTAATTTTCAGCTCGAGCTCGGCTCGAGCTCGAATTTTGATAATCCAGCTCGAGCTCGAGCTCGGCTTGAATAAAAATAATCTAGCTCGAGCTCGACTCGGTAGAGCTCGATAAATGCTCATTAACATAGCTTGTTAAGCTGAGTACAAGCTCGGCTCAAGATGAGCTCGATTTAAAATCATTTTTGCTGGCAAAATGTATAAACATAAGAATTTAAATGATAGAAAGAACACTAGAAACTAGAAATAACATCTAAATTTCATACACATCTGTATTATAAGACAATGTTCATGTTTAAAAGAGTAATTCATCCTTCCACAAGCTCAAAACAAGGCAGCTCGCGAGCTTAGCTCGACAAGCCACCGAATCAAGCTAGCTCGCGAGCTTATCAAGCTGAGCATGGTCTAGCTCAGGCTTGGCTCGTTAACTAACGAGTTGGCTCGCGAGCCGGCTTGTTAAATAACGAGTCGAGTGTCGAACGAGTTTTTTCCGTTTCGAACGCCGAGTTGCTCGCGAGCGGCTTGGCTCATTTGCAGCCCTACAAACCATAAGTTGTTTATCGACACCGTGGACAGCTTACATCCGTACACGTGGGTCATCTTATCTCCTCCCCAGCCATTGCATGTGTGTATGTTTTGAGATCACGTGCAACATGGTTAATTATTTTTTTCATATAAATTTACTTTTTATATAAGATAAAAGAAAGTGTAGTGTCGTATTACTTCACTTGAGATGAAATTAGGGACGCTTATCAATCAAGATCAAAGAACTAAAGGTTCTTAGTCAACTTCACGTTAAAAAAAGCTTAGCTTATTCTCCCACACTAATGCATTAGCTTTTCTTTTACAAGATATTCGAGACGCCCCTTTCTTAAAAAAAAAAGATGCATTCCATTACGGATATTCTTCAAAGTCATAGCTTAGGTGCTCCTATTGAATACAGTTAATATAAATTTCATAACATTTTCGAATTCTTTTTATAATTTCCAATTAAAAGGAAGTATTTTCTCAAATTTTGTTATAGCTATCGCAGCCGCCGAAGCGCAAAGGCAAGGGCACGGATCGGGAGCTGCGACTTTCTTTCTAGTGAGGGCCCCGCCTTTCTTGCATGATTAGTCACTTGTCTAAACATTGTCGAGCTTCTTTCTCCTGCATACCAGATTAAGGAGTAAAAGTAATGTTTAGTACTTCAAAAGATTCGAATATGGAACCAACATGTCCAAACCTAATGATATTTTTCACAAATGCTTCTTGCTTGTCAATCAAATTGTCCATGTTTCTTCAATGAATCTAATTATCAAAATATGGATGATAAGTTAGAGAGTATAGCATGCAGTCAAAAATGGTGATTATATTCAACGAAAAACAAAAATGGTGATTATAATTTGGTATTAGCTTAGTTTGGGAACCTACATGTCCAAACCTAATGACATTTTTCACAAATGCTTCTTGCTTGTCAATCAAATTGTCCATGTTTCTTCAATGAATCTAATTATCAAAATATGGATGATAAGTAAGAGAGTATAGCATGCAGTCAAAAATGGTGATTATATTCAACGAAAAACAAAAATGGTGATTATAATTTGGTATTAGCTTAGTTTGGCCCTGTTGTAGTTTTTGCAGAAACAGCTTCTGACTAGAGCTTTTAGATAAGTACTTTTCAAAAAAAGCAGTTTAGTGTTTGGCTGTAAAACTATTAGAAGTGCTTTTTAATATGAGCGGTTGTGTAAAATGACTATAAAGGACTTATAATATAAAATGTGAATAAAAATTATAAACAATAAAAAGTAGTAAAAATGGATCTTTTTAGATTTCGTTTATATTAAATAATATGATTTTATAATTTATTTTATTTTTAAAATGATATAAATGAAGAAAAATTATATTTTCAAAAATAAAATTAAAATATGGTAAGGATAATCTTGTATTTTCAAAATAGTTTTTCGCAGAAGCTCAAAATCGGAGTTTCTGCTTTTATGTTATACAAAAGCCCTTTTCGACTTTTCAAAAGCCGAGCTTTTAGAAGTGTTTGGTCCTCAAAAACCGAACTTTTAGAGGTGTTTGGTCCTACTTCAGCTTTTGAAGCCGAAAAACACTTCTAAAAACGGGTCAAACATAGGCATTGTTACGTTGTAGTTCTTAAATGTTGGAAGAATATTTGTTGTTCAGTTATAATGTTGGCTTTTTTTTTTTTTTGTTGTTGTAATGGAAAGCGAAATATTGGCACATCATTCGACCACCCCCAAAACCAAAATATTTCCACGTGTCCAAACTGACCTCCATCGCAAGTCACTAAGCTAAGCAAGCTAGCCTCCAAAGAAGGGCCAGGTGGAAAAGTAAGAAAATGAAAGCCATGGCCAAGAGACGATGAGAAGATAAGAGAAGCCGATCCCAATTAGGCCAAGGACCATGAGAGAGGGACGTGGACTCATGAAAACGAAATCTCCTCATTTCCAGTCCAGAGATATGCCTAACTCCTTGGAACACGAACCAGCTAGGCTTGGATTTATATTCAAAGCCAACAAAACAAAAAGCCTTCCGCACACTGTTCAGTGTTCACAGATAGGCTAGCAACCGGCAGCTGACTGCTGATGAATGGCATTCATAATAGGGTTCACATATATGCTATGCATGTCAATCTTCAAGAAACCTATAATCTAATCAAGAAATAGAACACGAGATTTACGTGATTTGCTCAACGATAATCGTTGAAACTAGTCCACGACATAAGGCGTTAGGTTACCTTATTCAGTAGAATGTTCAATATAACTACAATTTAGTCTCTACAGGACTCTCTCTCTCTATATATATATATATATTATATATAGTGACTACTTCGGCGCACTCACAAAAATGAGTGCGTTCAATGCACCCAAATCAAAAACTAGTCTTAAGGAGTCGGATTGTGAATTTTAATTTGTAGAATTAGTATAATATGATGATATAACATATGATAACAACTAATTACCGGATTGCCCTAAGCCCTAGACCTCCAATTTTGAGTTCTATCCCTAAACCCCAAACTGTAAACCCTAACCCTAACCCTAGATCTTTAAACTCTAAATCCTTCAAATTAAAGCAAATCTTTCATGGTTTTTGTGCAAATTCATGTGCGTTATTGTTCATCACATCATAAGTGATGATTGACATCATTTTGACATAAATCTCATGTTTAAAATGACGATTATGAAGCGAGTGCACTGAATGCACCCAAAAAAGTGAGTGCACCAAAGACGCAACTTTATATATATATATATATATATATATATATATGGCTAACCCTACTACCCGAAACCTCACGACCGGTACCCGAAATATGTACAGGGACAATTACAAAACAACCCCAGAACTTATAGTTTCTAACAATGCATAGCATGCTTTGGGATGTACGTACAAGATTCAAGCTGAACATTGGTCGATGGGGACTGGAGTCTGAAAAGAGGTGGTAAATATATGTAGACTAGAGTTTTTTTTTCTTCTTCTCCTAAAAGTTCTAATTATAGAGATGAAATGGTTGTTGATGCATCTACATAAACTTGATTCATTCTAAGGTGATGATAATCCGCGTGAAACTATTGGACGTATTGTGTTGTCACTTGCCACAATTTTCCCCCTAAAATACACATCTTTCCTATAAAATTAGGGGTGTTTAAATGGCTACCATGGTGATTATTAAATCAAATAATCTTAAATAATATTAACCATAAAATACAATATCATAATCAAACCGTCCAAACTAACACAACAATCAAATTAACCAAACTAAAGTTTAATCGATTTGGTTAATTGGTTAACTAAAATAACCAATATAACATCACATTATCATTAAGTGAGAAAAATTCTGGCTAGTGCATCAATTCGCAATATATATATGGGCAGTTCTACGGTGCCCAGGGCAAAATCTGGGGTACGGGTAACCGGGGGCAAGGAAAATTACCAAAAGCATCACGAAGCGTTTATGCTTTATTAATTGGACTTCAACCTAACTGTACCCGGTTTAATGATATCGATTAAGAGGTTAAACCCTATGGATACGACCCGCCGCCCTAACCAATTTCCAGTCTCCCTTCTACGATCCCTCATTCGCCTTGGAGGGTCCCCTCTAAGTTCGAAGTTCGATCATAAGCTGCCTATCAAATCTGAAATCTCCAACAAAATCATCGTTTCGAAACCCAAATCCTTTTATTATTTGATCCACATTCGATTTAGCTCCCTATCCAATCTCAAATCCCCAACATCATCATGTTGCATACGCCAAATCTATGTATCCACATTCGAAGAGAAGATCCCCCCATCCAATATGAAATCCTCACATAATCATCGTTTTGAACCCCAAATCCTTTTATCCACAAATCGACGTTTTGTTCATCGCCATTTTATTTCCGTGTGGAATTTACTCGCCTATCTCTTTCTAACACGATTACGGCGACCATGTCTATTATTGTGTTCATCAAACTTTTCGTTTGCAAAAGAACCCTTGAAAGAGGTTTGCTAAACCTAGGGTTCATGTCGCTAGTGCTTTGTCATCTTGTCTTAGCGTTATTGTCATTTTCTCGAAACTTCTATCACTCGGTGAAATTAAGGTTTCCTGATATGCAGTGTTCGTCTCGCCCAGAGGATTGAGGAAGGAGATGAAGAAGACCTAATTTGATTCGAATCAGATGGAGAGGTCTCCTTAATTTGTGTTTATGTATTAACGGTGCGTTTAGGACTAATTCTAGTTGGACTGGGTCTGATCATTGATTTTTGCAGGCTTTTAAATAACATTCAAACGTGGGCTTGTACATGGACCCATGACACCTAGTTTGTTGATAGTAGATACTGAGTTCCGGATTGTCATTAGGTTGGGCCTTTGATAATTGTCTATCCCAGTGGCGATTCTTTGTTTTACTTATTTTCATCTGCTTCTGCTTCTAAAATCCTAATCATTCATTGAGTTCACGCAATTTAAACATAATTCTGTGTTCCATCTTTTTTGGGATTTGGTCAATGCTAGCGTGTCTCTTTACACATTTAGCGGTACGAGGTAAACTACAATCCGCCCAATTTAATCTTCATTAATTGAGATCCCATTCCACTCTCTCACCGATTTCCCCTCTTTATGCAATGCACTCGTACATAACAAACCTCTTGTAGACTAATTAGAGGCTTGTGGTTGGATACTGAGT